AACGATCAAAGATTTGGGAAATGGTAGATGTGGTCAGTCGCTTCACAATGCATCCTAACATTTGGATCAGAGAGGCAGCAGTGAATTTTATTTCATCAGCAACTATTTTTTTGTCCAGTGCAGATATTTTATGCATCATCTTACCACTCGTCCGTCCATATCTCAAGACAGGGGTTAATGATTACTCGGAAGTCACATTACTTGATGCTTTGAAAAAACCACTATCGAGGGCAGTCCTTGATATGTCTGTCAATTGGGCTAACAAAGTGGATAGAGGAATATTTTGGAAACCTGTGAATCAATTACGAACATTCTCTTTCAATTCAAGCAGCTTTGTACCCACTGTCTCATCTAAAGAGTCTGGTCATCATGCTTTATCCAGAATACCAAAGAATGAAGAAGATGAACAATGGCTGGCAAAACTTCGAAACATAGGAATGAGTCATGAAGATGAAGCAAAGTTGGTCGCTCTGAGAGAGTATATATGGCGCCTTGCACCTTCAAAAGCCAGAGAAGGTCCAACACATCCAACCTATCTCAACAACGTCATCAATCTCCGAAGCTTGAATATTACACCACAAACAGTGATGTTTGATGAACAGATCACAGAGGAACCACCTCGCAAAATCAATAACGGATCAGAGATCAATGGAGAGCAACATTCTATCGCCGACGCGTTACTTGATGCTTCCATGACTATTGATGATTCAATCGCTAAAAGGAAACGCTCTGCATTAAATAACCATAGATCGAAAACTGGCTTACCAATTACTACTAATGGATTAGAGCCACACTCTCCAACTTCATCACCTGCATTCTTGTCCCCTACGGATACCTCGACTCCAAGGTCATCCATGACACCACGAAAAGGATCTCTAGTCCGTCCTGGAAGTTCAGACACAACAGCTCAGATGAGCGACGATGGAACAGCGTCACTACTGGGCGCTATGTCTATTGAATCAGGAGATACTATTCGTGGCATCCGTCATAAGTCTTCAGCCATGACTTTGATGAATCGCAAGGAGCCAGGGAAAAGCGTTCCCGAGACAAGTACTACCTCAACAAATGCTTTTGGCAAGGTTGAAGGACCCTTCTCACAACCACTTCAACCTTTGTCAATTAATTTGACAAAAGATCAAGATGCTTCTGCGAACAATGAAATACGATTCAGAGCGGCTCATACTTACTCAGGTAACGATCCAAACATACTCAAAATGCTAGATGCTATGTATGTGGATAATTACCCCAATGATATCGCCGAATTTGGACCTATGATTGCTCCTTCGAGTCGACGCCGAGCTATTAACAGGAATAGTAATCAAGCTGGGGATAAACCATGGAGACCCGAAGGTAGTCTTGTGGCTACTTTTGCTGAACATATCGGACCAATACATCATATTGCTGTTGCTCCAGATCATGTATTCTTTCTCACAGGTGGAGATGATGGCTGCGTAAAAGTGTGGGATACTGGTAGACTCGAACGAAATATCGCTCATCGATCCAGACAAACACACAAACATGCAGATGATGCCAAGGTTACTGCGTTATGCTTTGTGGAACATACACATTCGTTCGTGAGCTGTGGGAGTGATGGAAGCATCAATGTAGTCAAAGTTGATTTCATCCAAAGTGGTGGGGTGGGAAGATATAGTAAACTTCGCCTCTTACGTGAATACAAGCTACCAAAAGACGAATTTGCTATATGGGCAGAGCATTTCAAATTAGAGACGAATTCGATTTTACTTATCGCTACGAATCGTTCAAGAGTATTGGCTATTGATCTAAGAGCCATGACAATTCTCTATATTCTAGAAAATCCTGTTCACCATGGCACTCCAACCTGTTTCTGTGTCGATAAAAAACGTAATTGGTTATTACTAGGAACTTCACATGGTATCTTGGATCTATGGGATTTGCGTTTCAAGGTCCGTTTGAAGGCTTGGGGTGTTCCAGGATCCACATCAATTTACAGAATTCGAATCCATCCTACTAGAGGTCGAGGTAGATGGGTGTGTGTTGCTGGTGGTAGTGGACAAGGAGAAATTACCGTCTGGGATGTTGAAAAGACACAATGTCGAGAAGTTTATCGATCTGGATCAAGTCGAGAGGCACCAAAGAATTATGAACCTTGGCCTGTTGATGAAGACCGTCCAGAAGGTATGCTCGGTCGCTTTGCAGGGGCGCTCGAACCAACAGGCAGTGTCTCAAATTATGGTATTCGTGCTATGATTGCTGGTACTGATGCTAATGATGATAATCGTGATGGCAAATATGGTTTTGTCATTACTGGTGGCTCAGACCGTAAGATTCGATTCTGGGATCTTTCACGCGTAGAAAGTTCAATGGTTATGAGTGGTTTAGAGACTGATGAGCTCAAACCATCATATACTTCCTCACATCCCACACCAATACTTACATTGAACCACGAGCGAGTACCTAGACAAACCCCAACGGCTCCTAATGCTGGGACAAGAGATAGAGGCAATGATGGAGGTAGATCTGAAGCAAGCAGTAGAGGAAATGGAAAGGCGCCAAGGAGTACAATCATTTCATTGCAAGGGCATCAACTATTGAGGGCGCATTTGGATTCAATTTTGGATGTAGCGTTGTTAGAGAGTCCCTATGGAATGGTGGTTAGTGTTGATAGAGGAGGAGTTATCTTTGTCTTCCAGTAAGTCAGGATGTTCATGAAAATATATGAAGGAGAGGAGTTATTGGAATGGAAACGGTAGTGAACACAACTATGGAATAAGGATGGGAATCGGGGTTATTGTATTTTTGAGATGTATGATATACATAGATTGAGCAATAGGCTCTTGCCCTTATTAGAAAATAACTAGTAATAAGTCATTATAATATTATTTACCTGTATCGGTATTCATCTTATATATTTCAGATGAAAATGGTTACTTGTGTGTACCTAATAGGATGACTCTCCAAAAGGCTAATAATTAAAACTCGGTTAGCGATAGCGCAAAATCAAAGCTTAGCTTACCAAAATAATTTCTAGATTGCGAGCATCATGATATCAGCCTTGCGACCCATTCACGCACCTCACGACCTTACGACCTTCATACATATCCTCACATCTCTTGGTATCCCGCCAACAGAACAACTCATTAACTAATTTCGAAACTTTCAATCAAACATGCGTCTCACGGCCGACTTAATCCAATCCTCTCTTTCCTATCTCAATCCGCTCAAGGAACGCGAATTAGATCTTCGAGGTGCGTTGTAAATCTTTGATTTTCCTGTTAAGAACGGAGGGGAGGCTCCCTATACTACACTTTTGAAAAGAGCTGAGTTGATACTGGTTTGGTTGGTGGTTTGCAGGTCATAAGATTCCGGCGGTGGAAAACTTGGGGGTTGCTGGGGTGAGTTTTATTCTTTTCCTTCTTTTTCTTGTTTTTTGGGATTGGGGAGTTTGGTTGTTTGGTGCCTGTTGGTTTAGGGTTGGGAGGGGAGAGTGGTAGGGAAAGAGCAAGGTCAAGGAGAATTGGAAGGATGGTGGAAGAAGACGACTTCTTGTTCTTTACCTTTGCCTTTTCTTAATTTACAAGCTTCACATACCCGCAAGATAAAATACTAACAAGAACTAGCCACATGACGCAATCGATTTCACAGACAATGATATCCAACTACTCAGCAACTTCCCACTCAGTCCACGTTTAAGAACGCTTCTCCTCGCTCGCAATCGCGTCTCCAGTATCTCGCCTACATTGGCGAATTCATTACCAAACTTGACCACCTTGGTTTTGACGAGTAATAATGTAGCTGAATTGGCGGACTTGGATGGATTGGCTGGGTGTGCAAGGTTGACGAGTTTGGTTTTGATGGAGAATCCGGTGACTAGGAAAGAGGTGCGTTGTCTTCTGTTCTGTTTTGTATTGGTGAGAATGAGGGGATTGGTTTGATTTTGTTTGGAAGATGAACTAGGAAGTTGGATGAAGCTAATTGATGAATGCGGATAATAGCATTACAGAGAATGGATTCTCTTCCGATGTCCTAATGTGCGATTTTTGGATTACAAGAAAGTCAAAGCTGTAGAGCGGGAAAGAGCTCGAGAGTTATTCGGTACTTCTGCAGAACCATCTGCTCTTGCATCAAAGGTAAGCTTACAATCTTCTTGGTCTTCTTCTCTCCTCAGCGCTATACTAATATATCTATTTTTATAGATCATGGGCATTAAATCTCACACATTCGATACATCCAGCATCACCAATGGCGCATCCACATCCTCAACTTCCAAGTCTTACCGCGTCAAGCTTACCGATTCCGAACGAAAGAAGGTCGAGGAATTAATCAAGAATGCAAAGAGTCTACGGGAGATTATTAAATTGGAGAAGGAGTTGAATGAAGGAAGAGTTCCGGCGGCTGCGCAAGGCGATGATCCAATGGAAGAATAAAGACAGAAAGTGAAAAGAAGAGAGTAGAGGAATGAATTGCATGTCAGTGCTATGAGCGAGGGGTCATAATAAATGCGTACCTACCTACCTAGTTAAAGCGCTTGAAGTCCAGTCCCCTTGGGATGAAAGGATATGAGAGGATATGAATAGGATGATATAAATCATGATATATCGAAAGGAAAGAGAAAAAGTACTTCATATCGGTTGCATATTGTTGGGCGTTTTGGGTGAGATGGTGTTGCTGATGTATGTAAGTGGTGGAATGCAATGAATGGATAGCATACCATAGCACAGCATAGCATTCTGTTCTCCACAGGAGGAAATTTCACGGATTTGCAAAGAAGTTTCGATTTACATTGTTTATGTGGTTCCCTTGTTTTTGTTTTTAAATTTGTAAACCAACGCAATGTGATATCTATAATACATACTCCCATACCCGCGCACTCAACCAGATATACCTCGTCCTGTCTGCAGTACAACTTCTTCTCCTTCCCGCGTTCATCTCGTTTCAACTCCATCCCCAGCACAACAAACTCAACAAGAAGAAATACACGTGAAATCCAAAAACCACAACCCACATCATGTACTAACAGACTAACTCATCTCAACATCATCATCTTCTTCCTCATCATGATCGTCGCTATTAGCTTGACTCTCCATGCGCAATTGCGCATTGGGATCTTCGTCTTCGGTGGCGGTGCTGACTCTTCGCTGTTCTTGCTGTTTTTGGAGTTTGTTGGCGGGAGTGAAGCCGTTGGTGGGGGTGAAACCGTTGGGGATGGTGATGGGGTGGGCGGGGGTGGTGACTATGGGGGAGTTGTTTTGGGTTTGGGGTTGAGATTGAGATGGAGGTTGGGCTTGAGGTTGGGCTTGAGGGTGGGGTTGGATTTGGTTGAGAGCTGGTGTGGAAGTAGATGCGGATGCGGGGCCCGAAGCGGAGTCTTCTAGTAGGCCGGAGACGGAAACGCGGGGAGGTGCGGTGTCGAGGAGGGGGGATTGAGGGAAGGAGTTGGGGTTTGGGGTTGTGGCTGAGGGACCGGCGTGCGAGGTGGAGGATTGGGGAAAGGGAGGGTTGGTGGCGGGGACAGTAGATTTGGCTTTGGCGAGGTTGTTGGCCATGTGGGCGTTGGCTTTGACGAGTTTGAGGGGGACGGTCTTGGGGACCATGTCGCTGAGAAATTCGAGGTTGTCGATGTGGGAGACGGCGGAGGCTGGGGGAGTTAGTGGGGTGATGGAGAGGGAGTGGAGGATGGGCTTTCGGAAGATATGGAGGATTGATGATAGGCATTGAGTTTGTTGAGGGTTGAGAATCTTGACGAGACAGTCGAAGAGAGGGGAGACTTACATAGATCACGGTATTGAATGTTACGACGAGGTTTGCGCTCAGACTTGACAACATTATGACCTGATTCGGCCATGTATTGAATGAACATTTCCTTGAGTATATACTTAGCTTTTGTATGAAGATTATCAGATGGAGAGTGATGACATACCGTGGCTAGAGTGATAACAAATGCGGCATTGTTGGAACACATGTTTATGTCTTGATCAGTCCCGATTATCTTCTTGATGCGTGATACTGGCGAATGTCAGTTGGCGAAGAGGGCAATTTAGGGATGTTATGAAACTTACAAGGTAATTGAGTTGTTCCTGTTACCTCTTGAGGAGGAACTGCGGAGTGGTTGGAAGGCATTGTAAAATCTGGGCTTGAAGAATGGTTTGGTTGAAAATGATTACTGAGAAGTTATATCTGTAGAAGACTTAGTTATGTAGATTTCGAAGTAATAAACCTGACCTATAGAAACATCACATGTTGATTTTGAAAGAGAACGTGCAGTATCTTTGTATAATTAAGCTTGGTATCACATCACTCAATAAACGCAAACCAAACACTTGTAGGTGATGATATTCTCAGTGCAGATAACATATAAAAACATGATCACATGTCCATTGAAAAGGGGGAGAGTCCAACACACACAGTTATGATAGTGGTCTTTTTTGAAGCAAAGTAGATTCAACTCGAATCAATTGGACAGTATTTTCAAACAGTGGTGATATACACATAAGACCTCTGCAATATCCCGAGTTTATAGATTTCGCATACTTTCTCAAGGAGGACGTCAGGAGTGTCATCCTCTACATGAGAAATTCCAACCATTCATGGATAAAGAACAATACGTCGCGTACCTTTTTAGAAATATGATGAACTTGGATTTATTTGAAGATGTCGAGAAGTATGTACCCCAGTTGAGTGTATACAGGATTTAGGAAGCCAATTAACAAGAAATAGCTCTCTCGCGTTCGAGAAGTGAATACATAAATGTTCTCTATGGTTAACCGTAGTATTCTATCCACATCACGTGACTATCAAATGCCACTCATTGTCAAAGAATGAATGAATGAATGAATGCTTCTAGGCCCTAGTAGAGCTCAAGATTCTAATAAGTTGTGTTCGTACTTACTACAAACAATGATCTATTAAAGGGTGTATAGTTACTCCATTGTCACGAAGAAAGATGGTAAACCTTTGTTTTCAACGTTCCCCTCACTAAAAACCCAGGTACCTGTTGTTCATTACCATGCAGCTGCCACTAGTAAATAGTCATGACGCTGGCATTTTAGACTAATAAGTAAACAAAGGCAACTTTAGCACATCTATTCGGCCTATCACTAGATTCCGCATCTAGTAACTTCCAACCCCTGGAAAATATGACTAGTAAAGAGCTTACAAGTCAAAGATTGAGTCTTGAAGTTGCCAATCAAGGTTTGGCTTAGAGCAGCTATCTTTTTAGGGCTTTCTAAGATGCAGTTTCCCCTCCAGATACTCTCTCTGGTCAGTGCCGTGGGTTCCTTCTTTAAATGTGTTGTTTATGAGTGCTTCTTAGACTCATTCCTCTTCGAATCTTTCCAAATCGTTACATCAAATCTTTCTTTTTTGCTTCGTCAACATTTTTGGGCATCCCACCTCTATTTACAATGGCTCCCATTGCTCCAGGTGATCTGAACTATTTCACATGTACTTTGGGCGAAGCCAGTAGTAGGAGATTAACCCCGGTCGATGAATATGACACGATCAATGAACTCCTCGATCACCATGCTGAGAAGTATGGAGATCAATTAGCTATAGCGATCCCTGAAGAAATCGTCAATAGAAAGGATTCTGAAGGGAATTCATTTGCTGGATCATCTTATGGTACCGAACGAGTATTGAATGGTCAGGGAGCATCTTCGTCTTCTAGTAATGGAAGAAAAGAAACAAGACATGCCTCACCAGAAAGGAATCCAACACGAGTTTTGAATGGCAATGGAGTCCATGTCGCTGGTGCTGAAGCGGCCCCTACAGAATGGAAAGTCCATCTTTATAATTTCCAAGAACTTCGAGATTGTTCATTGAAATTGTCCCACAAATTAGCATCTTCCGAGGAGCTTTTTCCATCTGATAATGTAACCGCAAGAGATTCGACACGCACCAAGTGTGTCGGTCTCATGGGTAAAAGCGATTTTGCCTTTCTATTCAGTTGGTTGGCATTAATGCGATTGGGGGTATCCGTCATGGTCATGGTGTAAGTTGCAAATATTTCCAGTCTTGAGCACCGTTTTTTTTGAGCAGGGTATTTTGTAGTAGCGTGCATTGAAAGTTCAGTATTGAAAGGCAGTTCAAATTTCTCAAGAATCCCTAAAGAATCGAACCACCAAACATTGAATTGGATCTAGGAACTCATATCATCCGCTTATACTGACACAATATAGGCCATCACTCAGCTCAGAAGCTGTTCGGCATCTTTGTAAACAATGTGATATTGATATTGTATTTTACGACGTTGACCTCCTACAACAATATGCGGAAATCCAGAAACTCGAAAATATCTCACGCAGCACTCCACTTCAGATGCGGGGGTATTCAAGGAAATCTACCATGGAATTAATATCACATCCCGAAAGAATTCCATCACATATTCCATCGTACAAGGTCACGGGTAAAACCCCAGCTTACAATCATCATACCTCTGGCACCTCTGGCCTTCCGAAGCCTGTTCCCTACACTCACCATGTTGCATGCGGAGTTTTGCCAATTCTGGATGGTCGAGGAACATTGTCCTTTACCACAACACCTTTATACACCGGCGGCATTGCAGATTGTTTGCGTGCTTGGACTAGTCTATCAATAATCTGTCTTGCCCCTGATGGTCAGCACCCACTCACTTCGGAGACAATCATTAATTGTTTCTCGCAAATCAAAGAGAAGTATGAATCATCTATACGTAGAGTGCATAAATTCGGAACGCGACCTAGGTCAAAATCGCTCACGCTTAGATTGGCCAATCAAATTCCAAAGTCAATATATTTCTCTTGTGTCCCGACTATAGCGCAAATGCTTTCTACGACATCTAGAGGACTTGAATTCCTTCGTTCGATGGATATTGTAGGTGTAGGCGGCGCTAGTTTATCAGAAGAAGACGGAAAACTGCTTGTCTCTGAAGGAATAAATCTCGTTTCTCGTTATGGTAGTGCAGAGTGTTCATTTCTTCTCTCGACCCACCGAGACTACAAAACCGACAAAGAGTGGCAATATTTCAGAGCCGTGGAAGGTGTTGATTCTCTCAAATTTGAGCCACTAAATGATGGTTCTAATAGATATGAATTGGTGGTCATGAGTGACTGGCCACAATTTCCAAAGGCCAATCGAGAGGATGGATGTTTCGCAACAAGTGATCTATTTGAGCCACATCATTCTATAGAGAATGCATGGAAACATGTCGGTAGAGGTGATGCCCAAATCACTCTTTCGACTGGAAAGAAATTCGATCCCATTTACACGGAAGAAGCATTGAAGAGGTTTCCCGATATAAAAGATGCATTTGTCTTCGGAAATGGACAAATGTACCCCGGAGTAATAATCATCAAGTCCTCAAACGCTACAAGTAACTTCACCGATGATGAATTCAGGGACATGATTTGGCCATATGTTAAGGATGTAAACAAAACGGTTCCACCCCATGCAAAAATCTACAAAGACATGTTAGTCCTAAAGCCACATACCGATTCATTGGAAAAAACTGCAAAAGGAACCACAAAGAGGCAAAGTGCCAACATGCACTATGAACCCGACATCAAAAGTGCTTATGATGGCGATGCGTCAGCGTTCAACAGTGAAGTCTCATTAGAAAGTGTTATGGAAGTTGTCAAAACAGCCATTGGCGCTCCGATAGACCTGCAATATGACTCCAACTTTCGGGCTCATCACATCGATTCTGTTCAGGCGACGCGGATTCGATCGCATCTCAATTTGGTGACTAAAAGCTATTCTTCAACTTAATAACCTGTGCTAATGAATCTGCAGGCTTTCCTTCGCGGGTCTAAACCCTTTCCTTGGAACTTAGTCTATCAATGTGGTAGTGTCACAGGGTAAGTACTCAATCATGAATGATACCAGGCACTGATTCTGTCAAATTCCCTTCCCACATATTATCTTTTGTAGAGTCTATCTGTTGCACCCAGAAAACTGACAGCATGAATTAGGCTTACCGAATACATCAAAGCCTCTCAGAATGGATCTATTCCCGAGAATGAGAAGGATGAAGTGCATCAGATGAACAGCATGGTTGAACAGTATAGTAGATCGTTCAAGGACGAAACAAAATCATGTAACACGCCTGAAGAGGAAACCATAGTAAGTATTTAAGCAATTGGTGTAATTGGCATACCCAATGCCTCTTAAAAGAATATTCTAATGAATAATACAGATTGTAACTGGAGTCACCGGTACTCTTGGTATGAACATAGTCGAATTGTTGCGATTTATGACTACAAGTCATGAGGCACTTCGGATCGTTTGCTTCGTTCGAGCCAAAAATGACGAAGAAGCACGTGAGAGAGTAGAATGGGCGTTGCAGTCTCATTATCCCGAAAACTTGGAATTCAATGCCCCAAATATCGAGTGCAGAGCTGTGAAATTAGATCAAAATGAGTTAGGCCTTTCAAGAGATGTATTGAAAGATCTTCGTCAAAATGCTACCACAATCATTCATGTAATTTTCCCCAGTTAACAATCATGATTGATACATACTGATGCTAGATTACAGGCAGCCTGGGAGGTTAATTTCTCCATTCCCTTGAAAGATTTCACCGAGCAATTTCAAGGACTTCGCAACTTGATAGATTTCTCCCTGTCTGGGGAAGCACCGAAACATCTCGTCTTCTGTTCATCTACTGCAAGCGTGGCTAACACTAAAATCGAAGAGAACGAGGACAAGGAGAAAGACAACGACGAGGAGGACTTCAAAATTATAGAAAGCATAAATCGCAATCCTTTGGATGCCGGTCCGTTGGGTTACTCGAAGAGCAAGTGGGTTGCTGAAGCGATCTGCTCTTCAGCCTGTCAAATGACAAGAGCAAATATTAGTATTGTGAGAATTGGTCAATTATCAGGCAACACTTTCAATGGAAGCTGGAACGAAAAAGAAGCATGGCCACTAATGCTAAGCACCGGCGGCCCTGAGTGTCTAAATTCTCTACCTGAACTCGACATCCCACTTTCCTGGCTTCCAGTCAATACAGCAGCTGCAGCTGTGATTGAAATTGCTTGTCAAAAGATTTCTTGGAAGCCTCTACAACCACGCCCATCCTCACATGAAGCAAGTGTCTTTCATCTAGTGAATAATTCGACGGACATAACATGGAGGCACTTGTTAAAATGGATCGGTCACGAGGGCAAAACTGAGGAATTTGAAAAATGGCTGCAACGTGCTAAATCGCCAAGTCCCGTGGGATTGAAAGAAAATCACCCGGCTAGATCATTACTTGGCTTTTGGAAAGACATGGAAAAGCAGAGTAAGGAGGACTCTACGAGAAAGGCAACATTTGGTCTTCTAAGAACAAGACAGGTTTCTGAGACCATGCGTGACTTCACTGATATTGATGAGGAGTATGTGAAAACTATTTGGGGATGGGTTCAAGCTGTTGCACGAAAGTGGGCAGATGAGAACAATGGTGAACCAAAGAAGAAAGCTTCCTCATTAAAAACAGAAGAATCTTCGAGAGCGGAATCGCCTGTGGGATCGGAAGCATCTCTGGTAAAGGATTCGGCAGCATCTATGAAATCGGATGATGATGAAGGTGTTAGTGGAATTAATGTTACTTCAAAGAAAGATGTACGCGTTTCTATGGACTCGTCTTTGGGATCGGATTCGAATGTTCCTCGGAAAAAGTAGGATTAGTTACTGGTCATGGTGGATTTCTCCCCTTATATTCGTAGTAAGTATGTTATGGATATGGCTTAACTCAAGGGTGTTCCGTAGTATGAGTCGATTGTAAGGTAATCATTACATCTAGGTATTATTAAAAGCGTATTATTTACCAATAAAAAGCAATGCTAGATTCTTTATTCATTCGCTCCTTAACATAAAAATAAAGTTGTTGCCGATGACAATATCCATGAGTACTCTTGTTGTCTTTCATGAATCAGGAGGCATGATGGTGAATACCCAAGTGCTCGAGTTGAATATCGAGTTGATCTTCCACGGAGAGATGTGTCTTGGCAGTATTTATTCGTATACCCATTGATGATTCTTAAATCAGAATTTAGTCACTAAATATTCTAATTACTTTCCCAATAATCATAATTGTGGTCGAAGACGTGAAGCTGGCGAGAAACATTTGCTCCAAATGCCTTAGGCACAAACTTCTGTCGCAAGGCACCAAATGATAACCTAAGCTAAGCTCCAACATGAAGCTCTTCTCAATCTCACCACCCTCATCACAAATTATTTAAAAACTCACCACCATGTCTACCACCAACGCACCCAGTGGCTCACCCCCACCAAATGCTACGTACGTGTCATTGCACCCCGACACGTCCTAGCCCTCCTCCCCCAAAACCCCCTCACTAACAAATCTAGACTCTACGTCAACAATCTCGAAGAATCGATCAAGCCGGCCGCGCTCATCGAAGCCCTCACGGAACTCTTCTCCGAATACGGTACCATTTTGGAAATCATCGCAAAGACGAATTTGAAGGCCAAGGGTCAGGCATTCATCGTTTTTGAAGATGTAGAGAGTGCGACCAAGGCGATTGAGGATATTCAGGGTTTTGAGCTCTTTGGAAAGGAAATGCGTATTGCGTATGCGAAGACCAGGAGTGATGCCAGTGTGAAGAGGGAGGGGGGACATGAGGAATTGGAGGTTCATAAGAGGAGGAGGTTGGCGGAGAAGGGTGAGTTTTTTTTTGTTTTTTGTTTTTTTTGTCGTGGCCTTTCCTTGCGATTGTGGGATGGATATACAGTGCGGGATTGAATATATATGCGGATGCTCTGTGATCTATAACATAACGACATAGCTAACGAGCTTTATTCTCCCTATACAGAAAGAAAAAAGGCCGCCGAACTTACACTTCGTCCTACAACCGGTCCTCCACTTGCCAACCCAGCAGATCTCGCTGCACGACCCATCAAAGCTACTCGTGGCGCTGGACTCAAATCTTCCAATCCTGCTGCGGCGGCCGTCGTACCGGATGAATATTTACCTCCTAACAAGATTCTCTTTGTGCAGAATCTTCCCGAAGAATATGATGTTGATATGTTGACGAGTATCTTTGGACGATTTGAAGGCTTTAGAGAAGTAAGATTGGTGCCGGGAAGAAAGGGTATTGCATTCGTGGAGTATGAGACTGAGTCGGGAAGTATTGGTGCTAAGGAAAATACGGCGGGTATGGCTTTGGGAGATGAGCAAAAGGTTATCAAGGTCACTTATCAAAGACAGTAAGTTGTGAAGGGGCGTTTCTACATGACGGTATCATGAGGAGTTTTCAGATTGCGTGCCCGTTTGTATGGAAGGTCATTGCAACAATGAATGAAATGCTTCAGAGATTGCTTCGCTCGGATGAGTAAAGCTAAATAGAGAAAACAATGCTCAATCTTAATTATAGTATTCGCTAATGCTACATGATATTTATTCGAGTTGATAACCCGAATAGTGAAACTTACAAGTAAAATGGCATTCGTGAAGCATCAGAAAATGATATCCGCATCTTCCTCATCACCTAGAATATCTCCAGTATGGGAAGGATTCTCCTTATCACTACTGCCTTCAGCCTTCTCCTTCTCTGCTGCCGCTTCTTTCTTTGCCTTCATCTCTGCATCTTGAGCAGCTGTATCCCTCTGCTTCTTGTTTTGAACTTTCTTCAATCGGAAGAATTCTTCTCTGTCCAATTCATCAAGCTCTGAGTTGATGTATTTGATGGTGTTTTCTGTACGTGGAATAATCACATGTTCACTGTTATTTGGTTAGTATAACTTAATGGAGGGTGTTGTGATGTAATGATAGAAAGACTAACATTGCGTTTACTATATCAAATTAGTCCATGTTACGTTCTTCAAAGCTAGATTCAAACTTACCTCTCCTGTTCACAACCTTGATAACCTCATCCAAAATAACAAAAGCAGTCTAATCACAGCATATCAGCCCTATTCAACGCATCTCCTTTCTCCTGGTTCGGGTCGATCATATTCTAAACATACCTGCAAACTGGCTAATTCCACCAATGTCTCCACAGCTCTCGCATAAGTCTCCCTACATCTTTGTACCTGTTGACCACCCTTTCCTAAACCCGTCAAGCCAAAATCATTATTGCCTTCCGTTGTATAGCTTTCAAAAGCCGGCAAGAATACACCAGATACATTCTCTTGTTTCGTCCGTACACGGAACCGTGCCGACTTCGCGGATTCTTGTACTTGGTAACCAATATCCCCTCCTACCGCATAGGTTACTTCTGCTAGAGAAAAGGCGGCTATCTGCATTACTCGACCCATCTTTCGTTTGGCTTCATCGATTCGGCGGGTAATTTCTAGAGTAAAGTTAGGAATCTTGGAGCGAGTACTAGCAACATGGCAGGAGAAATACCTCGGAAACGCCTGCGCAATAAAAATTAGTATGGTAGGGAGCTTGTTGGGTTGGGGGTGTACATACTTAGTTAAAGCTTCACTCTTTCTCTTTAATAAATCATGACCAGTTTGCGCTCCCTTCAACTTTGACTTCATCAGTCCCAAGGACTGTCGTGTTGGGAAAACGGCCTCTCGATTCTATATCATGTTAGTTATGAAGTGATATAAATCCATTAGAATTGTTTGCTTTGTCTTACCCCAGCTCCAGACATTTTGATAGCTTTTCGATTTGACTAAATGATTGGCAATGTAATACTCCTGTGAGTTCAATTCAAGCGTAAAGGAGAACTCTCAAAGTATAAAGAGAGGACTGTTGTAGAGTGGAAAGAGAAGGCTGATAAGAAGTTGTTGATTAAGCTCTCGCTCCCACTTCAAGGTTGTAACTGCCCAAGTCCAAGCTCTTGGGGGTGTGAGCTTAGCGCTTCTCAAACAGATATCTCAACTATTTTCACGTGATTCAAGTAGATCTCAATCTTCGGACATTGTATCTTTGGTTAGGTAGGAAGAGAGATTGGTTATCAATATTCACTCCTCGAGTGGATAGTAGACATCTTTAGTACTCTCACTAGACACTAGATCCTTTTCCTCTTTTGTTCTTTTCTTTACTGATTCTTATTCTCTTCGGGTAGAAGAGGTTTACATTTCCCCCAATACTGTCGCTTAGTCTCCCGTAGTGCTAATGACCCTGGAGTAGCATTAAGTAGCAAAGTCGGTTGATTATTGGTGAGGAAAAAAAAGAGGTCGAACGACCAGATCAGACCCAACCCAACACCCTCGACGTCTTTCAAGACGCTCATCCAAATATTTCTTCCTCTTGGGACTGATCGCATTCTCTGTTTTCCAGGCAGAGAATGCCTGGAGAGTTGCTCCCTATAATGGCTGCTCCCAGCGTCCCCGAAATAAAATCCGCCTTAACCTTGTCGATTCGAGGAAAGCCAGATTTATATCTTATTGTACGTCGATTCCCTCGGATACCTACAATCATCATTGAACGATCACGTTGACTAATTAAATCGATAGTCTGAAGAAGATACTATCTATGAGCAGGATATTCTTCGCGATCCGGGCAGTACGAAGCCTTGGTTGGCATACATCGAGTTCAAATTTCAGCATGGCACAAAACTCGAGCAAGCTTTCGTCTTGGAACGAGCTTGTTTACAATTACCCAGATCTTATAAGTTATGGAAAATGGTATATACCTATGCGCGCAAACCCCGCTTTAATATCCACTGATGAAAAATAGTACCTCACATTACGAATGAAGCATTTGGGAAAGTTGAATCCTGCAGCTTTTGCCCCCGAATATGCCAAAGTCAACGCGCTTTACGAAAGAGCTTTGATTCTTTTGAATAAGATGCCAAAAATATGGGAGATGTACCTTCAATTTTTACTACTCCAACCCCTCGTTACTCTCACGCGCCGAACTTTCGATCGAGCACTTCGAGCTTTACCCATTACCCAACATAATAGAATATGGGCCCTTTACCGTCCTTTTGCGAATTCCGCGTCAGGTTCTACAGCTGTTAAGATATGGCGACGTTACATGCAGATCCATCCGGAGGATGCCGAAGATTTCATTGAACTCTTAATTGAGATGAAACTCTACACAGAAGCCGTTAAGAAATATATGGATATACTTAATAACCCAAAATTTCGGAGCAAACATGGGAAGGGTCATTATCAATTATGGAGTGAGATGGTAGATCTTCTTGTGGAGCATGCCAAGGAAGTTGAAACTGGAGATGAAATCGGAATTGATGTTGAAAAAATCATTCGAAGTGGCATTGATAGATTTGCGGATCAAAGAGGAAAATTATGGTCCGGTTTAGCAACATACTGGATCACTAGGGGTAGTTTTGAGCGGGCACGAGATGTGTTCGAAGAGGGAATCACTACAGTCATGACAGTTCGCGATTTCACACTGATTTTCGACTCTTATGCCGAATTCGAGGAATCGATTACTGGGGTTCTAATGGAAGCCGCTGCAGTTCGATCAGAGAAGGGTATTGTGGATGAAAATGCAGACTTTGATTTGGATATCCGAATGATGAGATTCGAGCAACTTATGGATCGTCGACCATTCCTATTAAACGACGTATTATTACGGCAAAATCCAAGCAATGTGCCCGAATGGATGAAACGTATTTCTCTATGGGGGGACAACAAAGTTGAAGTGGTTAAAGCATACACAGATGCAATTGCTGCTATTCAGCCGAAGAAAGCTGTTGGACAGTTTCACGAATTATGGTCAAATTACGCCAAGTTTTACGAGGAGGGTGGAGATTTACGTAACGCTCGTGTAATCTTCGAAAAGGCAGTGAAAGTACCTTTCAAGTCTGTGGCGGAACTTGCTGATACTTGGATCGAATGGGCGGAGATGGAATTAAGGAATGAAAACTTCGATGAGGCTCTCAAAATTATGGCAAAGGCAGTTCAGGCACCGAAGCGATCTAATGTTGATTATTTCGACGAGACTCTCTCACCTCAACAAAGAGTTCACAAGAGCTGGAAGTTGTGGAGTTTCTATGTAGACTTGGTGGAGAGTGTTAGTACATTGGAAGAGACCAAGAAGATATACGAACGAATTTTCGAACTTCGAATTGCAACGCCACAAACTGTTGTCAACTATGCCAATTTACTGGAGGAGAACAAATATTTCGAAGAGTCATTCAAAATTTACGAGAGAGGACTGGATCTATTCAGTTATCCGGTAGCATTCGAACTCTGGAATTTATACTTGACCAAGGCAGTTGATAGAAAAATTGGTATCGAACGTCTTCGAGATTTATTCGAGCAAGCAGTTGAAGGATGTCCTCCTAGATTTGCCAAAGTATTGTATCTTATGTATGGAAATCTCGAGGAGGAGCGGGGTCTAGCAAGACATGCGATGAGAATTTACGAAAGGGCAACTCGGGCTGTCTCTGATGAGGATCGCGCAGATATGTTCAACTTTTATATCACCAAGTCGGCTTCCAATTTCGGTTTACCTTCGACAAGACCAATTTATGAAAGAGCTATTGCGGCACTACCAGACAAAGATGCCAGAGATATGTGTTTGAAATTTGCCGATATGGAGAAACGATTGGGCGAGATCGATCGTGCAAGAGCGATTTACGGACACGCATCACAATTTTGCGACCCTCGAACAAGTCCAACCTTTTGGTCAAAATGGGAATCTTTCGAGGTTCAGCATGGAAACGAAGATACGTTCAAAGAGATGCTTCGTATCAAGAGAAGTGTTCAAGCACAATATAATACTGATGTCAATTTTATTGCTTCTCAAGCTCTTGCTCGAAGTCAAGCGAAATCTGATGAGGATGGAGAAGAAGCTGCGGATGCAATGGCAGCATTAGAACGCGAGGCAAGAGCTCCTGTTGGATTCGTACCAGCGAGCACAGGTCCTCAAGGAGGAAATATCAAGCAACCAGAAATAGTTGTTACTGAGAATCCTGACGCTATCGAATTAGATGGTATGGATGATGATTGAGGGGGTAGTTTGAATGGGGTTTCATTGGTGGGGGAGGTTAAAATATGGGAACGTCAATCAAAGGGAGTTTGGACATAGTGGGAATTTTGATATCTCAAGGATTCTCAATGCATAGGACGGCGTTTTCAATCGGGTTTACAAACGATCAAGACACTGTTGTCTGCAAATGTATATGTATGTTATTGGTATCATAGGTACAGGCGGTGGAAATATTAAAGATTGCTTCGCTAAATGACGGAAAATGTATTTTTCCAAACTTTTCCTCACATCTCTCGTTATACAAATTGCCCTTCGGGTTCATTTTTACATAATTCATCAACACTGGGTCTTCATGTGTCAAATATCTTTTTTCTTCTTCATTGGTGAAATTCCCTTGCTCTCTTTTCAACTTCATAGTCTCTTCCTCCCCTACCCAATCACTCGCTTTTGCTAACTCTCCTTCCACCCTGATTTCCGCTCTCTTTATTGCGATTCCCACCTAGACCAAAGATTCCCATGTATCCTTTCTCCGCATGTGTTGCATGGAAAACGGCATCTCGATCAATATGCTTATCGACATGACCATCGCGAGAACTTGGCGTTGCGTAGATTGACCCTTTCCGTTTTTGAAAACGAGAAGGGGGAGTTTTTGAAGCGTCTGAGTGATCGGGTGAGTTGTGTTAGTGTTGTTATCGACTTTGGCGAGAGGATACAGGAGAAAGAGAATTGGAATTAAAGGGGGAGGAAACAAAAGAAGAAGAGGGTACAGTTTGGGATGTTGGGGGACATGATGAATGGGGTAATGTGAAAGGAGATGGTGATGAGGAGGGAAGGGATGGTAATAACAATGGTGATGAGGAGGGATGGGATAAACGACGACTGAGAGGGAAAACCAACGAACCCCATTCATCAGAACTTAATCTTCGATCTTGGTTTGGCGATCCGGAATGTGTGTTTGTTGCGTTTGGAGTGCTGGGCGTGGGAATGTTCATGGGACTTGTGCCTTGGGGTTTGGAAGCGAATGGGTTGTTGTTTATGGGGTCTTTGCGTTGGGCTGCGAAGGGATCATCGTGAGAGAGACCCATAGGGGAAGTTGGAGAAGTGGGTGAGGTGGGAGAGGTGGGAGAGGGGCTGTGGTGGGCTGGAGAAATGGGAGAATGGTGTTAGTTGAATCATTTGAAACTTGAAGGGTGGATGAGAACGAACTTTGTGTTTGTGGTGAGGCCATATTTATTTTGATCGATATTTCGCTTGTGTGATGATAATCTGTCTTGTCGACAATTTGGGTTATCGTTTCTGCAGCTTCATGTAATTTTGCAGGAGTTTCGTTTCTCAAAATACAAATGCAGATGTATTACTTCGACAAGTTTGGTTTGTTCAGAGGTGAAGGATTCCCAATTGATATTGATTGATTACATGAACACAAAGACCAAGAACAAGCCAAGAGGAAGGACGGCTGCTCCTCTATTATTTAAAGCTTCGAGGTATGACGGACCACGACGCACATCTCCGTTGAGACGGCAAGAATCAGAGGGAAGCTCTATCACAATTACAAATTTTGTCATGCCACGATTCCTTTGTTTTCTTTGTAGCTTGCCTGACGAGAGTACACGATGGAGAATTCCCCGCAGGTGTATTTCTGCGTTGTGGAAAGTGTGAGCCAATAATGTGAGAGATGGATTGAGGGGAATACAATTAAAGAGAATTACTCCATCTTATTGGATGATGTGTGTCTGTCTTACACAAATGGTCAAGGCAATGCACTTGGCGAGACAAGAGTGGCTTTGTGTAACATGAGGAATGAGAAATCATTGGAGGGCACGACAAAGGACTCGAAGAACTCAAGCTCGCTTAGACGAATCGTAGAAGGGAGACGAAGGCGGGGATTTGATGACGTATAAATTTATCTGGATTGATCAAAAAGATTGTGGGGTGTAAAGAAATAAGTCTCGCGATTGTGGACGCAAATCTTGGTTAGACTTGGATGTTGATTATGCTCAGATATTACAAGGAAGATAATCAACGTATTGCTGTTTAGCTCATGATCACTTGGTCTCTTGACATCTATATTTTTGCGCCCAGCCCGTGGGGAAATGGGGGTTTAGGGGCTCGTGAAGGAATGAGAGTTCGCCACCTAGGACGGTGGGAAATGTTGTGCTAAGGACAGAGTGGCTGTGATATGGTTGGCAAAAGTCAGTGAAATGCCAATGAAGTGAGAAGAAAGCGGTGGATCGACAAATCTTGTGATGTATATTGTGAAGTGTGGTGTGTGGGTTGTGTAAGTGATGAGTTTGGTGGTCGGAGGTCACAACATGATGGTATGGATGTGGAGATAAAAGCGAAGTCGCTTGTACCAGAATGCGATGAATATTGAGGGAGTTTGTGAAACTCGAAGTTTCGCCTGTTATTGTTCAGGTTTTATAAGTGGGATTTCATCGTGGAAGCACTTCGATCTGGTCATCTATATCCAAAGTACCTGGATCATCCAACCAAGATGATTTGTTGTCGTGCTCATATGAAAGTGCTGTTCTCCTGACCATTGCAGTCAAAGTCTGGCTACTGTTTTTGATTGTCCAGCTTGATTTCAGTTTGTTTTTATGGTTGTTCAAGGAGATCCACACAGATCTCTTATTCATAAAGAATCAAATCTCCAATTCAACATACCTATCTATCTGCATCATCACACCTTTCTTTTCATTACAAAGACGAGATAATCTTTACTGTTCACACTGAAAAAAGTTTTCATAAGCGTTATTCATATGCTGACAGGGGTGGTACCGCCTATATTATGGATAGAGTACAGAGACTCAGAATGAAGCCTGATCGGCATTAGCAAAGGAGTATCGGATATTATATTGCCCAAGGTTGCAAAAGCAAAGGTAGATAATGTTCCACGGGAATGCTCAAGCGCTTTGGACTACAGTCCTCGTCGAATCCACCTGCGGGTAGCTTATCCCCTATTCCAAACACTCTTGCCGATATTTAGAAGTTGAAGGCAGCCGACCTGATAAGATCATGGCCTGGGACTACAATTTGATCAGTAATCTCATCTCTACTTCACAAAATGGACATATCATGACTGATTAATCCTCTTCAATCGTCCATAGGCGTTTGTGCAAAGAGATCATGTCAGGTTCGGGCAATGATATGTTCATCTATATCGTCTAAGAACTAATGAAGATAGAATCTAGTTTTGGGTTCGAATCTTACCACTTTCACATAAAGAGTCCCTAAATCCAGGGATTTTAGGTGTTAGTGATATCGTCTTCCTCGACCCCTATCTATGTGGTCATCTCATGAACATCTCCCTACATTATACAATACGAGTTACCGTTACGATTCATCAAAGGGAAGTTGGCGATAAGTTTCTACTTGGGTGTTCAGTTAAAATACACCTGTGGCCAATTTTTTGATGGTCCATTTATCTTGTCCTCAGTAATTTACACATAAATGGGTTTGGCCCCCATAATACCTTGAAAAGGCCTACGAATACAGTTTTGAGGGTTTTGTGCAGTACGCAGCTGATATAACGCCCTTTCAAACTTCAATACTGAGCCCACAATTAAACAAATTGCCTTCCTCTAAACACGCTGGTATTCCAATAATATTTACATAAAAACGATCCACTGTGTGTTCCAAAATTCCTAACCAAAAATAGCAGAAATATCATATTAAAAAAGATAAATTGGTAGTCCAAATAGAAACATCAACAACTTTCAAACAGCATCGTGATCATCTCCATTCTCAAAAGAGAATCGACGTAAAGCAGTTACTCGCGCAACTTCCGGAGTACCTTCGTGAGCTGATACACTGGTCATAGCATCTCCGTCTTGAATTGCGGGGGATATATGACGAGTTCCATTTTCACCAGGTTGAACAGAAGCTCTGAAAGGTTTTATAATACTCCTTACATCCTCGTTGCGATATTTAAAAACATCGGTTCCTAGTCGTTCCATTCTCTCAATTTCCTGTCTATGGGCCAGTTGACGTGCCTGGAATTTATTTTCGCGAATTTCTTCTTCGCGAGCTAATGCTTGACGATGTAATTGTTCCTCAAGGCCTTGTCTCTCTACATCGCGGCGATGCCATTCATTTACTTGTGCGACTCGGCCCATAGTTGAAGCAAATGGATTTGGAGGTTGAATACCTGGAGGCATCGCTCCGGCAAAAACACAGTTGCTCGGTCCTGGGGCTTCACCACTAGTAGAAGGAGCAAATTGACTCAGTGGTTGGTCGCCAGAAAGAAAATCTTCAGTAAAAGCGTAGTTGTTAGGTCTTGCAAGAGCGTATGTAGGAGGAGGACTTATGCGGTGTTGGATTTCGACTATAGGAGAAAAGCTATCAGGCCGTATTCGTGTTTCAGAGGATTTAGGCGATACTTGATCTGCTACAATCGAAGAGCGAGAAGGCGTCACGAGAATGGATCCTTTATCGAAAGATGGCTCTGCAGAACTGATGGCGAGAGCATTTATTGATGGTAGTGAGCCCGAATGTGAAACAGAAACATGGCTAACGGTAGGACTAGCAGTGTGAATATGATCGACTGTAATACTCTCTTTGAAAGAATCTGCTGGAAATTCTGTTGGTAGCTCAACTGGAGTTTCTGCAGAGAGTTCTTTTGGAATCACAGCTGCAAGCTCTAAAAGTTGGTGCGAGACGTCGGCGCTTACTTCAGTTGGCTGTGTAATGTCCGAGTTTATCTCAACAGGATGACTGACATCACCAGGCGCTTCTGAAGGACAGGTACCCGTTGGTGGAGGACTATCGAGTGGTTGAAGATTGACACCAGCTTCGGACTCAGAAGTAGAATTCTTAAGAGCAAGTGCAAATTTCTTTGGCTTATAGTATGTTATATAGGAAAAGTATAAGGTAGCCGATAAAGTGGCTATTGTACCAACTACACCAATAACTATGCCAGCAATTTGCCCCTTGGTTAAGCGAGTACTCTGACCGGATGACACTTTACCAGTTCCTTGTGCAGTAGCAATATCCCCACTTGGGATGGCAACAATGCTCTTGTTATTTAGCGTATCGGATATATGAACCGCTTGGTGAAGGGAGAATTGATTGGTCTCGTACGAGGTGATAATGTATGCTTCCTGTAAAAATGCTCGACCAATAGTGTATTGACTACTATTTGCTGATCTAGCTAATGGAAAGTAGAACTTTGACGCTTCATCTGTTCCATATTCGGTATTAGGAATGTATGGGTAGGATAATGATAAATCAAAAGCTGCGTATGGTAAATCAATTTCGATAAAATCCGAGTCTGAGGATTTGTCTTTGAATACAAATGTAAAAGTTGTCGTTGTAGATGAGTCTGATAGGTTATTATGCTGAGCGGGGTTTTCGTCAAAGGTATACAGGTTCAAGGACTCGTCATAACTAAGCCCCAAAGCATCCGCGAAACGATTGCAAACTGTCTCTGGAAGCCATAGGTAAGGAGTTGAACTATCAATCAATGCATTGATATTCTCCTCGTATGACGCAAGTTGTACAGGCATATTGGATCCATTCGAGGATATTACGAAAATACTGTCAACGAAGACTTGAGGTACAGGCGGATCTTGGGTAAGAGTGAACGAAATATTGTGAGGTATGAATCGATTTTCATCATATCCGCCTAGTGTCAAAGACATTGGCTCACCCTTTTGCTCTAAGTTGAGTTAAGTGACTGTACTAAAGTGATTTGAGAAATATCAAACACTTACGATATATAGCACCAGCAGTGTATCCATATCCTGCACTTACTATATCACCCAGGGTTTCTAGTTGTGCAAATGTGACATTTGGTGTAACGTAGCTGAAGTTTCCAGCACTTGCACCCAAACCAAAGCTTCCTACCCAGTACTCCGTAGCGTTGATCATCGCGATTGTCACGTTGGGAATGATTGGTCCGTCTGGCCCAAATGCGAGATTATCGAGTCCATACTCTCCATAAGGTGGCCATTGCAGCGAATTTCCTGTACCAAGACGCCAATATAGGGAAGACTCTAGTGTCAACAAAGGTTCCCATGTAGAAGATTGGCTTGCGTTAAAGATTGAGCCTCGATTGTCCAAGCATGTCGAATCTTTGATGGTATCATTAGTTTGTAAAGGTTACAGAATATTTCAGCTTGAACCCTTAAACTAGACAAGACTGTATATATGCGCGATATAGAATCGTTGATCCACAATAAAGGCTGCCATATTTGCAGATTACAACCCTGACTACTGGGAATATCAACACAAGACTTTAGGTCAACAGAACAAGTACGATAAAAATAGAAATACCATACCACTATCTTGACAGCCATATGGCCCTATCGCCCAGGTTTCAGCGCTGAGTGTATTCGGAAAGAGATTGACCCATTGTTTGGGAGATCCCAACCTGATCGACACAGCGGACCAAGATCCATCGTCTCCATACCTTTCACTATATCAGCATCTACGTAGACAAATGGGATATTGTTTACTATACCATTCAGTAGAAGGCGTTACACTTAAAGCTGTAGCAGCCTCAACACCAATTGCATATTTTCCCAAGATCAAAAGAAGAACCGTTTGTGTAAGAGCACACATCCCCATAACATAGATCATAGTCCTGTATTTTGTATCGAAGACACAGAATCTGACCAATGAACTAGCCAAGCAATAGAGGAATTGAATATATGTATGGTAACGATATGCTGGTAACTGCAACAAAGGTCCAATGGGACAAACGCGCAAGGTTACCAGGCTGAGCCTTAGGCTGAAGAGCAGGTATGAAAGACAAGCAGCGAATTAGATGTTGAGAAACAAAAGAAATAAAGAGCAATGAATCAAGGAGTAAAGCAATCAATGATTGTTGGATTGGTGCTGTAATTACTTTGGTCTCTAACTGTTTTGTTATCGGGAAAAGAGAGGATTAAGAGATGGTGTGGGGGAACCGAACTAGGAGAGTCTCCATATAACTATATTAGGCATGGAAAAGGGGCCACTCAACATCGATTAAGCGAAACATATGGTTTTTAAAAAAGCTTTAACGTTAAACAAAAGGTCATGATCATACATTTCCTTAATGATTATCCTATCAATTATGTGAGATTAATGAACGATGAATTTGAAAAGTTCGGGTCTTGCCCAAAGTCATTACGGCGCTCTCGGGCCGCCAAGAAGAACTTCCATTCCCGGAACAGTAGAACGGTCGCTGATTTATAGAATGCCAATTTAGTCGAGGATGCAAGGAAAGAGAAAGATCGGGACATAGCTGATGAGTCAAAAAAGGGTTAGAGATAGTGGAGTCACTTCCCAAATTTGGAAGTCAGTGGATAGTGGACGCAGTTTAGAGCAAATCAGCACGATCATTTGGTCAGGAACATGGTCTTAATGTAGAGACATCGGCTAATCAACTGTATAAGGGAAGGATGAGGTTGATATCTATTTCTTCACAGCCTTGTCAACTTTTTCATACCAGAAATATTATACTATGTTAGTACTTCTGCGAGGTAATGTTCCTAAACAGCGAATCAAATCATTTTGTTACCGATTATACCGAAATGAAAAATTCGACCAATCAAATCCAGTATAAAGAAGATTTTGGTATAAAAAATAATGGTTTAAGTGTTTTAGTCAATATTTCTATCGGATTTTAGTTTCAAACCCTGATATTTTCGAAAAATATTATATAACGATAGCAAATCAAAACTTATTTAGCTAAATCTACAACCAAAACTTATACGAAATTTGAAAAAAAAAGTATCCAGTATTCCGATTTTGCCTAAAAAATCTGATATTCCTATAGAATAAATAATCAAATGAGGAAATTATTCCAGTATATTCAAGATTCTGGTATATCCCAGTCCGGTATAGCCAAGTTCTGCTGTACTGGTTAAAGCTTCCACTGTCATCCGATAAAGTTTTATATGGAGAGATGGGAGAACTTCATAGCGTTGACCTTAACTACAATAGGCTTTTCCTTTTTATTAGCATTTTGCCACAATGATATTGTAGCTACGCGAAGTTGCTAGACTATCTCGTGCTATCAACTTTTAAACCCCCACGGAGGACTATCTTTATTGTAGTTTAAAAGCAACATATATAATCCACATTGTAGTCACCCACTACTATAGCCTTGAATGTAGTAAGTATTGGATGTAAATAGCCTCCAGGAACTCTTTTTGCTATGAGGAACTACCAATCAACTGTCTGCTCTCAATATTTCGTCAACTCAGGATTCAAACCTCCATGCATATTTTCCGTCATCTCAGTTCAGAGCGTAAAAGTTTATTTCTCGGAAACTTTGTCGCTTAGCTATATCTGGATTGGACTCGCACTAAAAGGTTCCTACATTTGCGACAAGCCTATTTTAGCTTATTGACGATCTCCCTGTATGCAAGATCCGACAATTCTACTTAATGTAGTGAGTAACAAAGCTTTTGAAGGAGGCGATCATACAAATTTTCACAGTAAAAAGCCGTGATGCTACTACCATTACCTGGTGACATGCTGCTTTCCACGAAACAAAATATGATAGGCTTAACATGTTATATCCGGATTTATCCAAGCATAGTTTATTCAAAGGTGGTAGCGGGCTCGATGAAAGCATCTTAAGCCACTATTTGTACCCTGAAAATATCATAATCTTTCACACTTCAAATACTGCGGGCGAGTCACTTGCCATCCATTGGCACAAGCAGCACTAGATTCAAGATCAAAGCACTATCTATTTCATCTTCATCAAATAGTAAGTGGAAATTTATTGGCAAAATAATGAAGCCGTTCAAATAAGAAAGATTTTCCATTAGAGTTTCTGGAACATTCAGCAGTTTGATATTCTTTACGCGTTTTTGGAAATGTTTTTTTATGTGAATTTCTTCTATAACTTACGCGGATTGGATCTGAAAACACTCTTTTTCTTCTATTATAATCTCATGAACAGTCAGAAAAGCTTTGGCTGCTGTCTACTGCACTAGGCGTCGACAAGACCAACTATTATCTGAGTTGATCTGGAGCAATGCTCTATCATGGATCAACTTATATGTGGATTCTCATTCTTACTCAATGTTCTAGAGTTGTTGCTCAAGGTATGACTGAATAAATCTGCTCAAAGACTACATTAGTAATATAAACAAGCAAAATTTCAACAATTTCCAAATTCTAGCATAATTTCTACGTCTTACACTATACAATTTTCGATCTTCAATCCAACGAGTGTACTACTTGAGTTATCAGCAAAAACTTCATCAATTTACAATAACATCTAGACAACTACTTCTCCATAGCCGACTTTGAGCCTTCCTACTACTTCCTGGACCAATATTGGTACTACTAGACATGGAAGCTCTGTCAATGTCCTGGCCGTCCTTCCTACGCCTCAATGGTTTGATAATACCAGTGGCGTTACATCCGACACAGTTCTGGTCAGCAATCCTCCATCTCAATGGCCAACCAATATCATAAACGTGACTTCTATCTTCACATCAACCCTTAATTCCCCCTCACAATGTCAAAGCTTCGTCACTTCAACAACTTTCGGACTCAACACAGACTTCGGTTATTCGATTGCGCCCACAAACTCGAGACAACTGATCAATAATCCAAACACTACTACATTTTCTTTTCACCACCAAACGGTTTCCAGTTTCGGGCACAGTGAGACGGCAACTGTCAACAATACTATAGTCAACATATCCGTTACACCCCCTGAATTGGATCCCGAGACGGATCCTTGCATTGCTTTTGATTCTCCTGACGACGACTATTATGAATTCATTCTGGTACCTAACACAAAAACGATTACACTTGCTAGCAATATAACACACACCCCAATACCAGAGTTTACTTCTACAACTTATTATCCACCTGGGACATCACCAGCGTATGAGATACCATCATTACCATTCGGTAATGAAACCGACCCGAACCAGATAGAGTCAAATGAAACAAGTATAAGAGAATATTTGTCACTGTCGCCATTAGCGCCTGCCGGTATTTCACAGTCAAGGACGATGACCGTTGTTGTTACAAGCAAGAACCCACAGGTTGTTTTTGCCTCTTATACTCCACCGCGTTTTCCGGGAATCCCAGTAACAAAAATTGGCAAGCCATCTGCACCAACTTTTACGTCAACTTCTACGCCAGGTCCTACGGTTAAAGCAACCCACCCTGAATTAAACAGTGTAGGGAATCCCGATGCAGGATCTAACATTGATTCCGGATCACCTTCGATTTCTACGAGTTCAGTGGTAGTCCTTGGAGTACCGATTGTCTTGACACCGAGCACTGTCGTTATAAACTGACATACGATGCAAAGAGGTAATTCGCCTATAACTATTAAGCAAAAGGGGCACATGTTTACAGTCAATTCATCTCAAGTGATAGGGCCAGGAACAACAATCACATTATCAAGTTCATATGGAGTAATTAAATCCATCAACCCAGCGGCAATGAGTATGCAGCCACAACCAATTCCAACTCCAGCTTCCAAGGCAGGTATTCCTGGGATATCGACAACTCTGACTACTGATTCAGGGGATTCAGAGGCAAATAGTATGCAGTCACAACCGAGTCCAACTCTTGCTTCAGGGGCAGATACTCCTGGTACATCACCAATTCTAACTACCAACTCGGGGGCAGCCCGGGCAGGTAGCCCTAGGACCTCACCAACTCTGACTGCCAGTTCAGGAGGTGTGGATATCGAAATGTCAGAAATCTCAACTGTAATGGATAATATTTCGGTACAACTGGGAAAATCCATTGCCGTTGTGAATGGCAAGACCTATTCAGTAGGTTTGGGAGCTCCTCAGGTAGTGACTGTGATAAACACCCAGACAGTCACTATTGGTATTGCCGGAGTCGAATTTGGCCATACGACTCTTGCTCCTCTAGTTTTTGAACCTACAAAACACGTGATAATTGGTGGTGAGCCCATAAGTGTTGGAAAATCATTGGCATATATTGGATCTTCAACGTTTACTTACGGGTCAGGATTGGCCATTCAAACTGATGTATTCAATGGACAAACAATACGCATCTACCCTAGTGTAGTGGTCTTTGCTCGAACGACTTTAGAAGGTAACTCAAGATCCGGAAATCAAATTGGAATAGTTGGTGGTCTCTCGGTTACGGAAGTAGGCTCATCAATCGCAATCATATCTAGCATTACGTTCAATATTGGACCGGGTGTTACTCCTACCAAGACAGTGATCAGTGGGGAAAGTATATCTGCAGATTAGAGCAGCCTGGTGCTTGCTGGTACAACTTTAACATACCCTCTCATTCTTGCGACACATCTGTCACAGTTTCAGATGTCACATTCACGCAAATTGGATCAAGCCTAGCAGTTATAGATGGAACAACCTTTGCTTTTGGACTGGGCGCAATACCTACTAGTCATACTTTCAATCAACAAACTATAAAAATTGGAAGTAATGGCGTTGAGTTCGCAAAGACAACATTTATAGGTGTCTCTGGATCATCCTCAACGCAGGCTATGTCTACAAGTACAAGTGAAGGATTGAAGTTCCAAACTACAGGCGAAGACTCGACACACGCGTCTACATATGCAGCAGCGACATCTACAGATCAAGGAAGTGACGCTGGGAGGATCAACGCACCATTCGAAATATACGCATGCATCACTCTTGGTCTCATTATGATAATGACTCGATTGAAAGATGAGATAAAGTTTTAACATGGAGTTCTAGGAGTTATGAAAAAGACAGGTGGAAACGTTTTTTTGAAAATGTACTTATGTGATATACCAAGGCTTCTTGGTGATACTATAATCATAATGATACTTTTGAAAGAATACCCAAAAGAATACTTATTATGCTCCCATGTCGAAATTTGAAAGGGTGTGCACTGATTTGAGACCAGAAGGATGTAAGGCATATAAACAGTCGTAAACAGAGTGTTCATACAGGTGGTTGTAATCCAAAGGATATATATGTTGCCCAGATTGAAGGTGGTTGTCAATCGAGGGCTGTCGATGAGGTGGGGTGTATTTATCAAAACCTCAGGCATTAATAGTAAGGACGTCACCTTGCTTGCACATGGAAATTACATGACTCCGATTTTATGTGATAGATACCGAAACGAGAAACATACATATCCCCGCCGTTCAGTAAGATTCAAATCTAAAAGCAAAAGAAACTACAACATTCATACAAACGTTCGAAACATCACGACGCCGTCGACTACTCAACTCTACAATAGACTGACCGGATACACTGGCTCAGTCAAACCCTTATATCCCACCCCTTCACGTTCAATTTTATGCAGCCGTCGCCTCCCAATAATTTTAACAACATTCTTACCTTCGAAAACCCGTCAGACTTACCCAATACCTCTAATCATGGCATTCACTCTCCGCAAATCCAGTCCAGCGAGCTGGTCAGTCCTCGAAATGGACTTGATGACTCAACGGCAAGCTCAACCCCTTCAACAAGTTCGTCAAGAGCAGGATCAGGATGGCGATCGCCACTCAATGGTGTGGATGAGGCACTGCGTGGATTGAACTTGGACACCAACCTCGAGAATCGCCCAAGACCATCCTATAAACGAATTGCCGAGTATGAAAACGCACTTGCTCCCAGTCCACCCAAAAAACAACCTGAGGGACCTGGATTTAAGGTGGTGAAGAAGAAAGGCAGTACCGGTGGGGAAGGTCCGCAACTAGAGAATTTTCCAAATGGTATTTTCAATCTTGACCCTGAACTAAATTGATTTTCTAACACAGTTTGTTCTACAGAGGTTCTGACTCATATTTTATCGCATTTGCCTGCGTCGTCTTTATCTGCAGTCTCGCTTGTATCGCGTCGATTTTACAATTTGGTCACTACACCTCATGCATGGCGCGTTGCATTTTCTAGATTTTTCCCAGGCCAAGACGTTACCGAGACGTCACCTATTGGATCAGATCAAATTGGAGATGATGAAGAAAGAGAACAATTCCGCGAACAACGATTTTTTGCGCGACTGACAGGTCTGGCAAGTTGGAGGAGCGAATATGTGCTTCGAACACGGCTCTTGCGAAGTCTTGGAAGAGGAAAGCCTGCTCAAGGAGTTGAACAAAGTAATTCAAGTCGAACAAATGGTGTGGGAAATACAAGTGCTGTGACTACATATACCTCGGAATTGTTCACATCCATCAATCACATTCATGGCACATTTGGTCAAGGAAAGAAATATCCACGCTTTATCCATGGTACTGATGAAACTGGGTCTGCTGGTAGCAGTGATCCTAAACTTGGAAGAATTGATCCTTGGGGTTTGACTGATCCTCAACCAATGCCTCAATTTGCAGATCTCTTTCCAGGCGATGCCCCATTTGGTCTTGGAGATGGTCCTGCTGGTCTGCCAAATGTTATGGATGTCAGTCAACCTTTCGGAATGGTGTATGGAGAAGGGTTTCCTGGAGGTTCGGCTTACCACAGAGCACCAACTGAAATGCGTGGTCGCTTTTTAGAACATTCGCCACCAAGTTTGGCTGATGCTGAATCTGGTATTCCAAACATACCTCCCCTCACCGAGGCAATATCATCTATTTGGATCGCTAAGTCTTCATCTGTACCCAAAGTCACCAATGGTGTTATCGGAATCATGACTGGCTCGACACTTGGCGTGATCACTGCATATGGTCTCGGTACCGAGAATCCTAAAGCCAAGGCTGGTCAGGTGATGGCACGATGGATTCCTTGCCCTGGCGTACCTATAGTTGCAATCAGCGTGGATGGTTCTTATAGTATCGCACGCAAAACATCACGTCGAACTTGGGCTGTCGCACTCAACGCTTTAGGCGAAGTATTTTACTTGACAGAAGTACCTACACATCCTCCATCTGATGTATCTGCAAATGAAGATGATTTGGGTAGGGAAGCCTGGATTACTGGTCGTTCAGTATACTGGCAGGTTGTGGAAGCTTCCCGCCGTGTAGCACGTGATGATCCATGGCAACAAGCTGAAATCCACGGCAGCTACTCTCCTAAATCTTCTTGCACATCTATGAATCTCTCTAAACAACAGCTCAAGGCAGAGACTCGTGAAATCGAAAAATTTCTAAGGTATCGTCCATCACATTTTCGCACCATTTGTGATGGCTGGGACATGCGTCGAAGACTTGAAGTTGACTTTAGTGGTGATGATGGCAATGGAGCAGGCGAGAGCGTTTTTGTCATTGGCTGCGGGAACAATCCTGGACAACAAGCAGAAATAAAGCGATACACAAGATGTAAAGTCGAGCAATCGTCACTTAACGGATTCACATTACCAAGAACTGCTACAGCAACACCTCCAGTATCATCCGAGCCAACTCAAATACCTTCGATATTTGGAAATGTATCAAAAATCAAATCAGAGGAGATCACTTCGCCGAATTCACCAATTTCACCCATGACCAAGATTGTTCAACCTTCTGGAAATGCAGAGGTTCCCATGAACGAAGAATGGCGGAGTTCCTTGCTATCTTTGAAGTCATATCCTGGCATTGAGATTACCACTTCTGCTATTGATTTATCAACATATGCCCTACTCACCATTGATGAGGATCCGTTACATACTGTAAGCGGGAAAACAAGTTTTACTACCTTTCCAGAGACAACATCTGATGAAACTTCCTCGACCAGCATCCCCGGTTATCGCGCAAGGTATTTGGTTGTCGGTACCAAGATAGGCCAAATCATTTTATGGAACATGCGAGGTCCTCAATCTGCAAATCCTCAGGTGGTAAATGAGCTACATCCAATCCGTACTATCGTCACAGAATCACCTCAAATATCATGTTTAGCAATTTCTGCATTGTTTATTGTTCATGGCGGTAATGATGGCCTCGTACAGGCGTGGGATCCTCTTGCATCATCCAATCAACCTGTTCGCACTCTCCACTCTCGATTTTCTTCCCGCGCTCGACGTCGATTGATTCAAGCAGAGGCAAGAATTCATGGAGTTGGCATCAATCTTTACGCAGCTGGTGCTGTCGTTCTTGATCCTGATCCAACCATCCTGCGTGGTATGGTTTCACTTGGTACTCATCTTCGTTATTGGCACTATAGCTCCTCTGCTGCAGATCAATTTCAAACTAAAAAGCGAAGACTTCGCCGTGGCGAACGTGGTAGTAATGGAACAGCCGATCGATTTAGTAATACTGGTAGAGGAGCTTTGTTGAGTCAAATTGCTTTAGAACAACAAGAACTCGACCAAGAAAAGAAAGAAAAAGCTAAAGAGGCAGCGAGATTTGCTGGTCGATTTGGTGTTGGGTTTGGTGGCCTTAGTGAAGAAGAAGCTTTACAGTATGCGGAAATGGTGTCAGCTCAAGCTCTTATAGATGACGAAGAACGCCGTATCAGTGAAGCCGGGTATTTTGCAGATACTGGCGATAGCTCTCCTACTAAAGGCGAGAATGGTTTCGGAACCATTACACCTGAAGCTAGTACGAGAAGTCATTCTACGGTACCAACTTCAGCTATAGAGCCACAACCTAACTATGACCATGATCTTGAGGAGGCTATACGCCTCTCGCTAATGGAAGGTCAAGCAATTGGTGATAATGGGTATTCGCCAAGTGTCGGTGATTATGATGTCAATTTCACATACAAACAGAAAAAGACAAGACGGTCAGAGTCCACTTCGCCATCAACTAGTCAAGTATCCAAGGATAGATTCAGTTATGAAGGGTTACATTCCATGGATAAGAAGACTCAATTATCAGACGATCTTGAGTTTGCTTTGCAACTCAGTCTAGCGGAGGAACGTAGTAAACAAGAGGCTGAGGCCTTTCCAGGATTGGGGTTCGCAGGAAAGGGGAAGGGAAAGGGTCGTGCGATTTAGGCAGAAAAGATTCTTTGGGAGCAGCTTTATTTTCTAGCGGTTGATGATTATCTTTTGCTTCTTTGCTGGCGTGTGTTTTTTTTCTAAGATGAGCTCAAGCTGTTTGAACTGACTTCTATGATTCTCAAAGACGCTTTTAATGATAGATATACATTTAGTGCCTAGTTTAATTGTCTCAATGCCTTTCCAACATTAAATCTTGCCGTCTCATGTGATACAGTGATTGGTATCGAATTATTCTCGTTGTTGCTTTATTGTGGGAACTGGTTCCTCGGGAGTGCTTCAGGCCGCCCATGTTAATATCTATGTATCGGCAACGTATGGTAAAGATTCTGTAGACAATGGTGCTCGCTTCTAAATCTATTCAATCCAACTCACCCCTTGTATAAACGGGTTAAAGAAATTTGAGCCTGCAATATCACCCGCTCAATATCAAAGCATCGATTGCCTCAATAGAGGGGCAACCTGCTTTCTACTATGCTCAATCCTTTCTTGCCACCAACAATGTCTGATCTCCTTCTCCTCATCGACATTTAGTATGCCTTGACCCCAAATCTTCAACCCAAATCTACTCTCTCCTTCTCCCTTGAATTTCCTCAAACATTCTACCCCTCTATTTCCCAACCCCCATACCAATAGTTCCCTCCTAAACACTCCCTCCTTATTACTCGTCGTCATCACCGCACAAATATCCAAACTTCTTTCCTTCGCCCACTCACCCAGTACCTCAAGCAACAGATCCCTACTCCCCGCTTTCGCAAGTAGAAAGTCGAAACCCTGGACCACAGCACTGATACCCAGGTTCAGTCCTCCTTCGTACCATTCTTTGTAATCTTTTCGGAGGATATCGCGTAATTCCATGTTTCCAATATCTTCTTTCGCGGCGGTGATTGTGGAGAAATATTCGTCTTGGTTCCAGGGTGATTGTGATGTATTGGGATCTTTGGTGATGAGTTCTTCGAGGAATTGGACAGCGGCGAGGTCGCTTTCGCAGGTTTTGTCGGCGGATTGGAGATTATTTGTGTCGATTAGGATTGGGCCTAGGGCTAGGTATGCTAGTTCTCCGTCCCATTGTCTGTAAATTGGGTGTTAGTTGATTGAGTAAGATTTTGGATAAGAGTGAGGACGGTATGGAATAAGTAAAATATCTAAATGGAACTGGATATTGCAAAGTGCAAACTTACCTAACATCTCCATCCACCCCATCTCCTCTCTTCATCTCCGCCCAACCCTCTCTCGCCCATGCAACGACCAAACTCGCACAACTTCCACTCTTCTCCACAATCCTCATTTCCCCCTCTCCCTCACATATTTCCTTCTCAGGAACCTTCCCCTCCTCATCATGATGGTCTATACACCCTCTTACTCCCCCCCCATAAATCCTACCCAATTCCCCTTGTAACGCATTATGATCCACCAATATCCATCTCGTATCGTCTGGTTTTAATTTCGTCACCTGCGATGACTTTGTGCCGTGTTCTCTCAAATCATCCAAACTAATCAATTCCCCCACCTTGACTCTTGCTTTCTTTAAAACAGGATGTAATTCCGGTCTGAGTCCTAAATCCGCACGAGGTAGATTCGACAGAGGGATGTAGAGCGATTTGCTATGGTTGAGAGGGGAATATGTGCGGAGATAGGCTAGGAGGATGGCGCTGCAGAGGGAATCGAGATCTAGTTACTGTGTGTGTTAGTTATGTGAAGGACTGTAAGCTAGTTACCAATTATATCGAATTGCTCCCGCTAGTATTCTTCCCCCGGAGTATTACTAGAAGGAGGGGTAAAATGATACATACCAGCCGATTCATTACCCACGACAAAATTAACTTTTCCCCCGCTGTTCAATGCGCTGTTTAGAGCCGTTTTGGCGGAGGATAGAAATGAGGAGAGGGATGCGCGAGGGAGAGACATTTTGGGATTTCGTCCCGGGAGACTAGAATATGTGGCTGAGAACGCGTATTGATGCTGTTTCTTAAGTGGAATTAGGAGGATGTGAGGGGACGTGATTAGAGACCCCACTTACGTGAGCTACTGTACGTCATTGGGTGGGAGCTTCTTTATGTGTAATTTGGAAATATAGAGGATTTTTCTATAAAAAAAATAAGAAAGACTATTTTGGATAATGTGAGATCTCACTTGACAATCTTGTGCTGTTGCCAGCATGCGTCTATCGAGAGTTACGAAGGCTTCTTACAAGGTCTATTAAAGGTAGGCTTGCTTGGAATAGAACCACATAATAACTGCACGAAAGGTTTCAGGGTAAGAGAGAAGATTTACGATGCGACGATTCTCTCTGATTCAAAGGGTAGATGGCTAGGCATTAGGTCTAAAAGTATAACATCATCCTTTCGCAGGATACAATTGAATAAACGATCAAGATAGCTAAAGCAATTCTAGATATTGTGATCCGACTCGATCAAATCAGCCGCTCTCTCAGCTACAGCATAGAAAGTAGATTGAAGATTTCCTCTCGGAATCAAATTCATCATGCTTGCATCGACAACTCTGATGTTCCTTGCGCCATAAACGACCAGCTTTTGGTTCAAAACACCACCATCTTCCAAAGGTAACATCGCACATGTGCCACACGGATGCCAGGCGGAAATCATAGTTTTTCGTACACAATCTTTGGCATCTTCCAAGTCTGTACCAAATGCTGCAAAGCTTGGACTGATATGTCCACCAGGTTTGAGAATTGAAGCCATTGGCTCAGTCGCAGCAATGACATGGATGTAACGCATGAATCGGGCGTGGATATCTAGATCAATAGGATTGCTGAAATATTTGGGATCGATGATGGGACTTTCCGATGCAGACGAAGATTGTATGTGAACACTGCCTCGTGAAAGTGGATATTCAAGTTCACAAGCAATTGTAAGAAAGTTGCCTGTCTCGTGGCTGACGGTGACGTTCTTTGCGGAACTTGCGTCAGATCCAAAATCTCCATGGGCTGCATAGACGGAAGGAACAAGCGGAACTCTTGTCTGCGCTAGAAAGAACAGATCGTGAAAACTCACTCGTTACACTTTTCTTCTCGGGTTTGTGGGTAAGCAGCAAATGCTCTAATTCGGCTTTCCCTTTGGGTGTTTGGAAGTCTGGAACGGGCATGTAAGCAAACGACGATATGGCCGCACCAGCAAAGGGTCCAGTTTTGTCAATTTGATATGCGGACATAGCGGCTGCTATGACTTCTGATTCTTGGCGGTTCAGAGGATCTAGTGTCTGTAGTTCGTCAACTACATCGAAAGTCATTCCGCTTGATGTATGATCTTGGAAATTTTCTCCCACGTTAGAGTTGTCGACATGTACATCGATTCCAAGCGAGCGAAGAAGTTTAGCATCACCAAATCCCGAGAGTTCTAAGATCTTTGGGAAATTCAAAGCACCGACTGCAACTATGACCTCCCTTCCGGCTTGAAAGATATGTTCGACACCTTTGATAGTGACTTTCACACCTTTGGCAACGCCTTCCCCAGATTCATTATGTAGAATGATTTTCTCGATTAGAGCATTAGTAATAAGATGGAGATTAAATCGATTTTGTGTGGGTTTGAAGTAAGCATTTGCTGAATAGCTTCGCTCCTTTGTAACGCCATTGACTGTCGAATTATTCACAAAACCACCGATTGAAGATCCTGAAATGCATTCTCAGACATTTCATGATTCAAGGCATTGAAGGTATCAACCCATGATTTTCCGACAGCATCCATTTTTGGAGGATACGACGTTTGAATAAGACCGTCAGACCCCGGGTTGTTCGAAGATGTCAGGTGGCTCAGGCCAAGCTCCTTTCTTAATTTCTCGCCTGGGATTTCAAGAGTATGACCCTTTTTATAGTAGGGTTCCATGGGATCCCAACCCCAGCCTTCATTTGCAAGCTCTTTCCAGGCGTCAAGTCCAACTTTAGATGCAGCAATAAAAGCTTGCGAATTGATGGCACTTGATTCACCAAGGAGACGACCACCAGGAAGGCTTATAGTGCGGTTTCCAAGTTCACTCTTCATTACAAACAATCAGCACAGAACGATTCAGGGAAGGTGTGGTGGAAACTACCTGGGGAACAGTTTTAAATGCCAAATCGAGTTCTGTACCAAGAAAAGAGGGCCAAAGTGCTGGAATGTTTATCTGTGGATTTTCCAAATGATTTCCAGCAGCCTCGAGGATAAGAACTTGGATTTCAAGATTCTCGGATAGTCGAGTGGCGACTACGAGACCGGATGTACCGCCTCCTACGACGATAAAGTTGTAAATCTATGGATATTCATTTTCTTTTCTGATGCGTAAAGGGACGTTGCGCGAGAAAGGGAAAGCAATATAGTTTGGGCTTCTGAGAGAAAGAACTTTGGGGAAAGATACTTGGAGAGTAACAAGGAAGTATATAAGTAGATTTGTTTACACTTTCATGCAGGATAGTGGGACGTAATGATCAAACAGTTGGAGATGACATATACTGAGCATGTCGATGGAAATGCACAGTCTAATTCCTGTATTCAACTGAGGCAAAAGTTGTGTGACTATACACCTATAATATTCTCAATTTTGTAAAGATGGGGGGCGATTCAACGTAATAATGTGTGCAATTCACATCGCCTTGCTTCTTCTCTTTCTGTTCTTAGGAAAAGTATTTGTAACGATTGCTTTTCTAACCAACGCTAATGATGTTGGCTGATGTTGGTAAACAGATAAGTCGGGTATTCTACTTTCGGACCACCCTCCTTTTAGACCACTTTTTATACCAAAAATGGAATTTTTAACTTTCTTATTTATAAATAGAATTTATTGAAAATTTATATGTATATAATTTAGATCATTTTTAGGTTACCTTGAAAATTTCAGATTTTTAGGAATTTTCTGTATTGAGATCTAGAGCTTCAAAATATCGATTTTTAAATTTGTATAAGAATCACACATAAATTTGAAACTTTTATAAAATCTTTAATAACTTTTTAATAAAAATTATTAAAAATAAATTATAAAATTTTATTACAAATTTATAATATATTTATTTTAAAGGATTTAGAAAAAAACGAAAATTTCTTATAAATAGATCTTTAAAATAATATCCTTAAAATTATAAGAATTATTTACATTATTCTAAACTCATTATATGTGATTATATCTTTATATTGATTAATTCTTTTTTAAAAAAAATTAATTTCTATATAGATTCAAATTTAAAACTTTTAAAAAGATATATAGTTCTCTTTTAATAGTTGTTATTAAAAAGTTATTAAAGATTTTATAAAAGTTTTAAATTTATATATAATTTTTATATAAATTAAAAAATCAATATTTTAAAGCTTTAGATCTTAATATAGAAAATTCTTAAAAATTTCAAAATTTCAGAATAACATAGTTTATCAGTGGGTCAACTATATCAATAGATCAACCACTTTTACCTCGAATTATTATTTTACATTCAATATACATTTTCTTCATAATTAATCATGAAAATTCATTCTAAAAAAGCATATATAATCTTAACTATTCAAGCTATTAAATCAAATAAAAAATTATCAATTCAAAAGACAGCTTAGCTTTATTATATACCTCGAACTATATTAGGTAATAGAATTCAAGGTAAACCTAATATAATTAAGAATTAATTAAAAAGTTATAATTTGATTGAATTAGAAAAGGAAGTATTTATTCAATATATTCTTAATATAAATTTAAAAGGTTTTCCATTTAAATTTAAGAATGTGAAAAATATAACGAATTATATTCTTGAATTAAAGGGTACAAAATATATTGAGAAGCTTTAGATACATCAATTTATAAAGTATTAAATTAAATTAAAAATACATTTTAGTTATATTTATGACTTTCAAAAAGCTTTTTATAAGGATTTCAAGTTTATTAAAGAATGATTTCGATTAATTACAAATATACAAGCGAAATATAACATGTTGAATAAAGATTTCTATAATTTTAATGAAATAAGCTTTATAATGAGAATTATATGTATAATAATTATTATTAGTGTTAAGAAATGTAGTAAAAGTAAATCTATGTAGCTAGACAATCGAAAATAAACTATAGTAATAATATATGGAAATGGAGAGGGCGAAACTATTTCCTTATTTCTAGTGGTTTAGGGACAGGCTTATCTCTCTAATTAATATATCGAAACTAATCTTCTTATGGAATGAGTTATTAAACCTATATCTAATAGGTGGATAAATAATGAGATAGATTTAGAATTGTTACGGGAGCTGCCTCTAGAGTCATGTGAAAGTGTCTAGAGATCTTTCAAGATGGTTTAGATTAAATTTCAAGTAGGAATTCAATAAGATTATAATTAGTTGTAATTCTTGTAACTATAATAATAAAACTAATAATTGTTTTTGAGCATGAAGCTTTATATTATAATGAAATCCTATTCCTTATATAGATCTTCATTTTCTAATATTGATTTAGAGTTTCTAAGAGTTCTAACTCCTAAGGACCTCCTTGGAACCCTAGCTCCTGAGAACTCCACTATGTGACACTGATTACATGGCATTCTACTATTCATTATAACACTATCCCCTTCTTAGATTAGTGCTTATCCCAAACATCTTATAATATTCCATTTCCCCACTCGGCTAGTGAATCAAAATGATCTTAAGCTCTTTCATTATACCTATCACCATTATTTCCTCTAATTATTTAATTGTTCGAAAACGTAAGAAACAAATCCTTCTTACTCAGACTATTAAATCTAATAATATCGAAATGATTCTATATTCGTATTATCGTTTAAATAATTATCAATATATTAAGGATTTATCTCGTTCTAATCGCTCTTATTGTTCTGAATATATATATGTATATTCTTCTTGTAATACTAAGTTTCCTTTGTCCAAGAATTGAGATCGAGAAGTTCCTCGGGAAGGCAATTAGCATACCTTAAATTGTTAAGAGGAACACCTTCGTTCGAAGGAAAAAGAGGCTATGGCAAAGATTCTTCGCCTTAGGAAGTAACAAAAGTTATTGCACAAGCGACGTCAACATATGGCCAACTATAACCTTAAATATTTGAATAAGCTTGATACTCTAAAGGGAAAGGAAAGACTAAAGAAAAAACATGTTGAAAGAGAAAAGAAGATGATGTCTATTCCTATTGCTAGTCCTAGTAATGATTCCTTTGCTTTCGACTCTTCCTTAGATCCTTCGATCCTTGTTTCAATGGAATCTCCTTCTTTCTAAGTAAATTCAAGTATCTCTAGTGAAATGCCTCCAACTTCTTAAGGCAGTTGAGGTTTTCTTTCGATTCCTATGAATTTTCGGTATATAAGTAATATAACTATTTGATCAAGTATTTAATTATACCTCTAACATATTTATAATCTAGTATTGTTTCGACATTATATATGACATTAGAATTGACTAATTCGATTTCAATAAATAACGTATTCAGCACTCCTAATAGTGCTAATTCGAGTAAGAATATATAAAATACTGAATGGATATTTATTATATTTGATAATTTCAATTGATAATTAATTATTCCTATTACCTTATCAATCTTAAATAGTTTTAGTTTTTTATAATCAAGTTTATTGCTTAGTCTCTTAATTTCGATATTTCGTTATAATAGATAAACTTTATTCCCCTTTTTAAGTATAGATTCTATACTACATTTTGTATTATAATATATTACTGTTCTAAATAATATAAATCTTAAATTGAGAGCAAGCTGTTCTTGTAAATCCTTTAATTATTCGACTTATATTATTACTAATTCAATATTAATTTCCTATGGTATTGATATTTAATATACTTTAAGATTAAATCTAAAGTTAGTGTATACTAATATAATCTTTATGGTTTTCATTTCCAATATATTATATACGAATTATACCATAGGTAATAGCTCTATTTAATTATTCTATCGATAATTTATATAGTATCTAAGATATACTTTTATTATTTGATTGATCCTTTCTATCTGATTATTAGTTTGTAGATGAAAGGCTGTTGATAGCTTTTTTTTAATACTTATAAGTGCTAATAAGGTAGTCCAGAATTTCAAGGTAAAGAGCTTGTCTTTATTCGAGATTATCTCATCTAGTATTTTATATATATTTATTATAATCCAGAGAAACGTATATACTAATTGCTCAATATTCTATATTTCCCTGAATAATATTATATATATAAATTTCGTTAGCCTATTTATTATATTGAATATTATATTGTATTCAACTCTTATAATAAAGTCTTTCGAAAGTAATAGTTTGATTATAAAGTCTTATGTAATAGACTTCTATGGTTGAGAAGGCATGTTTGGGGTCTGGAGCTGGCCATACGGAATATGTCTAAAGGACTTATTCCGTATACAGGTATTACAATTTCCAACAACTTCTTCAACTATCGTTTTCATTTATGAAAAGTAATTAATTTCCTATAATCTTGTGAACGTTTTTGCAATCCCCTAATATCCATGTGCTAGTAATTTGTATTGTTTCGTTACAAATTCCTTAGTTATTCGGCTAGGAATGTATATTTTTCTGTAGAAATATATAGTTTCGTTTTCTATTGTGAATTCTAGTTTTATTATCTTATGTATGTATATAGCTATAGTATCCTTATTATAATACAATTAGATTTGGTTTCTAAGATGGTTATCTTCTAATATATGAGTAACTATAGATTACAATACATTGTAAATCAATGATTCGTCTTCTTTTTTGAATATTGTATATAATTCGTACAACTTATTTTCTTGATATTTTGATTTTCGGCTAAGAATGTTGGCTCTAGTATTTTTTAATCCTTTGATATATAAAATTTTAAAATTGTAATTGGTTATAATCTCTAATCGTTTGATCTGTTGTTTGTTTAACTATTTCGTTGTAATGAAGTAGATCAAGTTTTTGTAATTTGTATATATCTGTATTATATATTTTAATCCTTTTAAATAAACTTGTCATTCTTTAAATATATCGATTATTGCTAGTAATTCCTTATTGTATATTTTGTAGTTTAATTCAATTAATAATAGTTTTCAAGAGTAGAATATAATTGATTGCTATTTCTCATTTTGACCTGGTTGACTCAATATTACGCCTATAACGAAATCTGAAGAATCCGTCTCTATTATGATTTGCTTTTTAAGATCGAATATCAATAGTATTGGCTCCTCGGCTACTGCCTGTTTAAATGTTTCGAAGAACTCCTATGTCTTGGCGGTTCATTTAAAGCTTCCTTAATCTCTTTTAATTAATATAGTTAAGAGTGTAATAATTCCTGAATAACCTTTAATAAATCTTTAGTAGAAGTTGATAAATCTCAAAAAGGATTGTATTTCCTTAATAATGTTTAATTACTTTTATTCAAGTATTACTTTAATCTTATCTTTACTCATTTTAAACCTTTGACTTGATACAATAAATTCTAAGAATTTTGTTTCTGTAATACAGAATTCATATTTGCTTGGTTTATATAATAAATCGGTTTTAACTAAACTTTCAAGAATGTTGCTAACATTTTTAATATGTTGAACCTTGTTGTTTGAATATATTAGAATATCATCTAAGTAGTATATACAATAGATGTTCAAGTATTGTAATAGCATATTGTTTATAAATCTTATGAAAGTAGTTGGTGTATTAGTTAGTCCGAATGATATAACTTAATATTTGTATAGCCTGTATCTTGTTTTAAAAACAATTTTCTATTCCTTGCCTTTCTTTATTCTAATTAAGTAGTATTTGTTTTGTAGATCCATCTTGATAAATATTGTTGTTCCGTCTAGTTGATCTCTTAATTCTGTAATTAATAGAAATGGATATCAATCTTTCTTTGTAAATATGTTGAGCTTTTTATAATCTATAATTAGTTTCTTAATATTATCTTTCTTAAGTACCCACATAATTGAACTTGTTATTTGAGATATGGATTCTTTAATTCATTTTTTGATCAAATTGTTATTGATATATTCTTTGAGCATTTTTAGCTTATTAATCGATATTAAATAAATTGGGATGTGTATAAGCATCTTGCTTTCTTTCAATATTATTTTATGATTTTATGACTTATATTTTGATAAAGCCTTATAGATTTCTAATTCTTTAAAAACATATTTGTATTTCTTGTATAGTTTTGGTATTATAAACTCCTTTATTTTGATTATTATTTTTTATTGTGTTGTTGGCTTTTGTATTTGTAAAAGAGGTATATTAGCCTTTGTTTTTAATAAAGAACTTTAGATTGAGTGTTCTATATTGTTAATATTGTTTGTATTCAATTCTTTTTAATATATGTTACATCTTATAGACATTTTGAATATATTATTATAATTGTTCTTATATTGATCAAATGTTACTGTTTCTTATAATCAATTTATTCTAAAATTATATACTTTTAACTATAATATCCCTAAGATAATCTATTATTAGTTCAATAATATAACATTAAGTTGTATAATCTTTAAATATTGGATTATGTTCATTTGTATTAATTATATCTTCTATGAAATATTCTTATTAGATTCTATTAATTATTTGTTAACTAATTATAATTAGCAAGGGTTTTGTTTTTTCTAGAGTAGAACTTTTAAGTATTTTACAACTTCTAGTATAATAAAGTTTCTTATAGTCTCTAAATTTATTATGACTTATTGTATTTATCCGTTTATTTTGATCTTATAGTATATCTATTCTGTTTATCCTGTAGCATTCAATTGCTAAATAACTTGTTTTTTATTTGTTTTATTGAATTGTTAATTCCTTATCTTTCTTTTCTTAGGGAACTATCCGATTGCTTCTTTATCTGATTAATAGATTCTATAGAATTCATTATAACAAGTAGTCCAGTTCATCATCATATAATCTACTGATATCTTTTCCTTATGATATTCTTTTGTTACTAAAGATAATAAAGTTTGATAATACTCTTATTCTTATAAGTCTACTACATTCATATCTTTTTGATTTTGTAATAGCTTATCTAATAATTTCCGGAACTCTTCATTAATAAAGGTTTCAATTTCTTCGATTTTAATTGAGTATTCCTAGGATATAAAGGTAACATTAAGTTAGCCTTTGTCGAACTTGGATTTAAAGTTGCTCTTTCTTTTTCTTGTTTTTTTATTTCAACAATCCGCTATTCGGTACCCTGCTTTTCTATATTCAAAATATAAGTTGTTTTCCCGTCTTTATTTCTTTTCTAAATTATTATTCCCCTTTTTATAATACATGGCATCTAGTTCCATAGAGTTCCTATAACTCTATGAATTGTAATATAGTCTTCCCTCATTCTTATGATAACACTCTTACTTTTGATTTCCCTGGGGTTTGTATAATCTTTGATCTTATTGATATCGATAAAGACGATTATCTGATTCGATGGAGTTCTAGATTAGGTTGTTCAAGTCTACACTTTTAGCAGATCTTTTTAATTCCAATCTGACTTCTGATTTGAGTCCTTTACGATAGTAACTCATAATAACGGTTTTATTCCACTTGATTATTCCCATATATCTTCGGAATTCTGTAGCATACTTTAATACTGATCCTATCTACTTGAAATTGAAGATCTTATCTTTCGTTACTTCTAATTTATTAAAGTTTTTAAAGATTTTACAAATCTCTGTCTTAAATCCTTCAAAACTATTAAAGATTGTTCAAATGGATTATATACAATCTTATTCATTGTACTCGAAATAATCTCGCAAATATAATTGAATCCATTTGCTTGCTTCTCTTCTAAAATAGAATACAGCTTATACACTCTTGGATTTTGTAATTGTGAATTTGTTCTTATTGAATCGAAAATAGATTTCTAATTGTAAAAGGAAAGTATCAAGTTCTTATCAATTACCTTGATATTTGTTTGATAAAGCAATCTTAAGGGTTTCGTTAATAGTAATCTTCTGTAGAGTATTAGTCATTTTGATATTGTTAATGTTTACTATCGATATAAACTGTTCTGTTATGGTATTTTTGATTGTTATATTTTAATAATAAATTATCGAATCGATATTTGAAGTAGAAAGGGTACTCAAAGTATTATAGGAGCTGCCTCTAGGATCATATAGAAGTGTTTAGAGATCTTTTAAAATGATTTAAATTAAACTTCAAATAGGAATTCAATAAGGTTATAATTAATTGTAATTCTTGTAATTATAATAATAAAACTAATAATTGTTCTTAAGTATAAAGCTTTATATTATAATGAAATCCTATTCTTTATATAGATCTTCATTCTCTAATATTGATTTAGAATTTCTAAGAGTTCTGGCTTCCAAGGACCTCCTTGGAGCCCTGACTCCTGAGAACTCCACCACGTGACACTGGTCACATGGCATTCTGCTACCCATTGTAACAAGAATAATTGAAATACTTCGATAAGTATATTAAAAATCAAAGAAAGGGTAAATATCAAATGTTAGTACTGAATAAGCATAAAAGTTATAAATTAGTAGCTTTTTAAATATATTATAAAGAGAATAATATTATATATTTATATTTATTATTATATTTAAGTTATTTAATTTAATTACTTGATATTAATTGTTTTAATAATCTAAAACGTTCATATAATAATTAAATTAATGAATTTATTAAGGTATATATTAATTATATTTCGAAGATTGAATTCTTTATAGTTTTTAAAATTGTATATAAGAAATTAATTATCTTTTAGAATATAAAATCAGAATTTCAAGAAATAGATTTAATTTTATTTAATTTTAAAGTTATATTCTCAAAATTAGATATTCAAATTTGTATATCTATCTTTCCCTTTTTCAATTTAAATTACTGGATTTTTCAAATCCCTTATAATTTAATTAAAATTCTTTCTTAATTAATATTAATTAAATCTCGAATAACTTATTATTAAGTAAACTTCCCTATATTTATATTTAAGATTGTACTAACTCTAACTAAAAATATAAAAAGATTAACTTATAAAAATATACTTTTAAATATAAAGAATTATATATTTTGAATAGTAAATGAAATATTAAACAAATATTAATATATGAAAAAAACTTAATTATATTAAGGAGAAGTGTTTATTAAATAAAAAGCTTTTAATATATTATTTTAGTAAGAGGTTGATATTTAGATTTAATATAATAAATATTAAAAAAGAGGAAATTCTAATGGGAAAGTATGTTCTAATTGATATTATAATAAATATAAAAAGATAGTTTATAATATAAGAACCTGTCAAAATAATATAATAGATTCTAAATTATTAGATTCTTAATAGTTTTAATTAATTGATTTAGTTGTTATTGAATAATATAACTTTAAAGTAATAATTCAAGGTAAAAATGATTAATCCATTGATATGGCCGACCCACTGATAAACTACGTTAAGCTTAAAATAGCTTAAATTATATATATTCAAATTTTTATTAAATTAGATTATATATTGATAGAGATATTAATAGGCCAAAAAAGCGATTTTTGATGTAAAAGAGTGGCCCAAAACAGGGGTGGCTCGAAAGTAGAGTGGTCGACTTATGAACCAGTTTTTGTTCCAACTTCCTGGTGAGCTCTCGGTTATCGTTGAATACCTTCCCCTTCTTAATGATACCATATTATTCTCGAGCACTTAAGTGCTTTTCAGTATCAATCTATACTAAACCACGTTCCCCGAATCCATCAGAATAAATCGGAATACCCACTAGTAATGAATATCGAAAGCTGATTCCGGATGGTCTACAATTTGACAGGATCATACCTTTTCTTATTCAACGCCACAACTAGAACCATATTGTGGCGCAAATGGAGATAATCAGCCACATGTACTCATCTATCTCCTTATAGTCTCACTTATCATAACTCACATATCACAACATATTATATCATACAAACCATGTCTCGCTCTACTTCATCCCCTCCAAAACAAATCTCTTCATCCACTGACCCGTATAACGAAACTTCTCCCCTTATCTCCACCCGTCATCATCCCCATGAACCCCCTCCTCCCCCCTCCCCATCTCTCCCAACCCTCATCCTCTACTTCATGACCCTCCACTTCCTCATCGCCTTTTGCGAAATGGTCCTCGTAGCCCCCCTCATCTCTCTCTTTGAATCTTCCCTCTGTCACTCTTATTACAATTTTCCAGAACCAAGCGTAAAATTACACACCCGGGAGATGATTTCAGATATGTGTAAGATTCCTGAGATTCAGGGTCCGTTGGCGACGGTTAGGGGGTGGAAAAGTTTTGGGGATACGGTGCCTGGTATATTTTTTGTTTCTTTTTAAAAGAAGAGCGTCTTGTATTGAAGATTGAGGAGGGGAAGAGAAAGCGAAAGAGAAGGGGGGCAAATAACGAGATTCGCTGATAAGTATACAGTTTTACTAGCAGCGATTCCGATTGGCAATTTGGGAGATCGATATGGAAGACGCAAAATCATGGCATTATCTCTAATCGGAGTTGGATTATCCTTAATAGAAATTTTCGTTGTTTGTATGTATTTCACTGACTTGCTATTCACGTTGTCTTTACCGAGATACACCGCTAATATTGAGATCTGATAAGGTGCATATCCAAAAATCTTCGATTTGCGTTGGGTATGGTTATCGTCGTTGTTCCTTCTATGTGGAGGAGGTTTATATTCAAGTGCAGCATTTATGTGGGCGATGGCTTCTTCGCTGATACCGGAAGATAAAAGGTAAATAGTATATACACTTGGGTGAATGTTCTAGACTAACGGATGGCCTATGATAGAAGCTATGCGTTTTACTATATCTTCTCAGCGTTCTATATTGCAGAACTCATTGGGTCATATGTAGCTTCTATCACTATAGATGTTTGTCCTTGGATTGCCTGTAGTATGGCCATGGGATCTGTGATTCTGGGATTACTTTTGTTGTGGCTGGTGCCATTTAGTCAACCGTCGTCGCCACCAGAAGTATCATCACAACCAACCTCATCAACTACATCCTCAACACGACTACACCTTACTACCACCCCCAAGACCACTATTCTAGCAACAATCCGCCACGCCATGATACAACCCAATGTTCTCCTCTGCATTCCAGTCTTCCTAATCGGAACCCTTAGATATACAACTCTTAACGTCCTGATCCAATACTCCTCTGTCCGTTTTGATACCAAGATATCTAAAGGAGCAATGTTCTACACCGAAACAGCTATTATCAATATCTTTTTGTTTCTTTTCCTGATCCCGAGGATAACTAATTGGATAAAATTGAGATATCATGTGAGATCCGAGAAAATTGATTTGGCACTGATGAGGGTTAGTGTATGTTTTCTTTTAGTGGGTTCTCTTGCTATTGGGTTAGCACCGACTAGTGGGTGGATTCCAGTTGGTACGATGCCTCCTCCTTGAGAATGAGTTATAGTGTCTAAGTTGAAATAGGTGTTTCTATCTTCGCCGCAGGCTGTACGTACTCTTCTCTCCCAGCTTCCTAATTTTACATTATACGCTTTTCTTTCAAACTACAACTAACAACCCTCCTTAGTCGGATCCCGAGTCTCAACTCTCTCCTTAATATCCCACTTTATCCCCGCCCCCTCCCTCGCTACCCTCTACGCCTCGATAGCCGTGCTCGAAAATCTCGGCCATGCTATTAATGATCCTTCCATGCAACATATATTTGCGGCAACCTTACGCCTGTCACCTTTTTGGCACGCGTTGCCCTTTTTTGTCGCTGCTGTGAGTACACTTTTACTTTTTACATCTACAAACGAGAATAAGACGTAGAATGAATATGCTGATAAACGATAACAACAGATATGTTATTTCCTGGCTGGTTTATCTACGATCTTTATAAAGATTGATGCTAATGATAGGAAAATGGACGACGATGAAGGTCAGGAAGAAGATTTGTAAAGGAAATACACATGTAAATCAGAGTGTTCAATAGTCCGGACTGTAGTCCAGCAATGAAGAATACTCAATCCCCAAACCAATTAGAACATTCGAGTCATCTAAGATATTGAATTTGATTGGAATATTGAACTATTTTCAAATTTCTAACTGTTTTTAGACATCCAAACCCTTATATTGTTGGACTGCAGTCTGGACTTTTGAACACCTGATATTGTAAATACTAAATAACGCTCTCTTTCAAGGGAACTCTCAACTTGAAGGTCAAAAGTTCGTGAAGACTCTGCTATCTTCCACTATGGTTTACTATGCTTTCAACCCTTTTTTGCTAATGCATTGCTGCCGTACATCGTTGCTGAATTCTCAGTTCTTTATAGAAGTGGTATAGTTTGAGCCACGCTATCATTATTTTTTGTAAAAAGAATCCTGGCTTCCAGAGGATATATTAATCCGCATTGGTAGCAACGCCATGACAGAGGCCGACGTCCAAGGAATGTTGAGACTCGCGTTAACGATGGTAATACCTTGAGCAATATTCAATGTCAGGAATAATAACGTTGAGACAAGGGGAAAAATGCGAGCTCTCGCTGTGAAACCAAAGGTCTATATCTAAGATAGATAAATTCCTAGACGTTTCAAAAAAGCAAAATGTATATGCAAACCTGTGTTCCCAGGTTCAAACTGGGTATGAAAAGATAGGACACTCATATGTAACCTTCTAATAGGAATCGAACCAATATCTCCAGAATCAAAATCTAGTGTGCTAACCATTACACCATAGAAGGATTGCTTATTTGATGCCGTAAAGTTGTTTATTTGCATATATATTGTTGTGGTGGGCGATGCATTGAAGAGATTTTCCGCGAAGTGGGGCGGGGTGGAGGTGGGAAAGGACCTTCTTTGAGGGGCGCAAACTAAATGTTTTGTTTCCGCGACTAAGGATAAAACATACCGAGGCCGATTTGGTCGACATGATCAAAACCCTAAACACAGATTTCTGCCTGAAGCAAAAAGAAATTCTAAAATTTGTATGGTGTGGCCATAGAAAACTTGGAAAAAATATTTGTACTATATAGAACGCGATCTCATTATATATTATCATAAAAACTTTAATAATATATCTTTAATTCTTTGAATAATATAATAGCGATAATGATATTATTGAATTATAATACTTATTTTAATAATAGACTTTGATTTTATTAATTATATAAAGCTTATATAATTACCTTACTATATATAACCTTATAATAAACTAATATATTTAATATAAACAAATAATTAAATTTATTTACTTTTTAATTAAAAATCTTTTACTTAATTTAAAGAAAGTCAATAATATTAAATTATATAATTAATATAATAGAATAATATTCAATTTTATTATAATTAATGATACTTCTTTTTTTTGCTAATCTTTAATATATTAAATTCAAAATATTTACATAAGTTAACGTAACGTATGGGGAACTCGGACATATGGGGAACTCGGACACTTTTTCAATTATTCTACACGCGATCTTGTTCTACGAGCCACACAATCCTCCAATTCCAATTCCGAATCACTTGAACTATTCTCTAGCTCTTCTTCTTCAATCTCTTCTTCTGATTCTTCAATTGGGCGTTTGCGTGGCCGTCCTCGTGGCTTTTTCTCCTTCGGTTTTTCCTCCGCCTCACGTACCATTTTCAATACTTCCTTAGTACTAAAGACAAATTGACCTTGTAATTTGACTCTTTTGCCTTTAGTTCTTTTCTTTCGAGTCTCAATTACCTCCTGAGCATCAGAGAGCTGTTTCCGAAGTAGGGCTATCTCAGCATTTTGAGATTCTACAAGCCTAGTCATTCTCTTGGCATATCGACGAGTTGGCGATGCAGGAGAACCACTGCTTGCTAGAGCTGTATTAAAGATCTGATTTGCTTGCCTTAGTTCTGTTCCATCTGGAGGAGAACTCCTGAGTATAGACAAGTCTAGGTCTTGATTGGGGGTTCTCATTTGTGGAGTAGAAGGTTGCTGGGAGGAGTTAAATGGTAATGAATCGAGTACTTTTCGTGGGGCAAAAGGTACTAAACCAGCTCCTCTCCAGCCAGCTTTAATATTAGAAGAATTCAATGCTTTTTTTCTAATATTTTGAAAGAGTTCTACCCATTCAGCTCTTTGGATTCGCTTTACACCAGCTCGAGAATATCGATCGACCTCTAAAGCATGATATCGTTTCATTGGCCCATACACCGCAATATCAAGTGGCTGAAGCAAGTGAGAGCAATGAGGAGGTAATATAAGTAAATCAATATCATTATCTATACAGAAAGCAATAAAGCTACCTGTAATATGGCTTGAATGGCCATCCATGATCAAAAGTCGAGGTCGGTCACCTGACACTTTCTTGGATTCTGGTTCGAAAACCCTTTTTAACCATTCTAATCCATGGCTATTTGAGGTCCATCCATTTGTACTAGTAGAGAACTGCCAGCTTTGAGGTGTGTCCTTTGGAATCCATGCAGAATTCGTATTCTGAGCCTTGAAAATGACCATAGGTGATAGAGCATTTCCAGCTGCATTGACACATTCAAATGCAGTTATCCATTCTTGCTTGCCAGCTGTAACTTTCCAATTCGATTTCTGAGTAGAATCGACTATAATGCGCGTACTTTGAGTACTTCCAACTCCAAATCCGGTTTCATCCATATTATACATATCATCTAATTCATACTTTCGCTTAATGAGACGCGTGCGAAACGTGTCAAACCAAGCCTGAATATTCTCCGGAGTTGCTTCTTTAGTCCGATTAGACTCTAATTGACATGAATAGTATGTTTTAAGTTCTGGATGTCGTTTTTGGAATCTATAGATCCATTCGTGGCCTATAGGTGGAATTTCTGTCGAGGTAGGATTTCGAGATGATGCGACCCGAACGCGTCGAAGACGAATTTCGTCGGCCATTTCCTTCACCAACATAGGTGTAGCAGGGAATCCAGTGATGGTAAGTCGTGAAATCCATCGTACAAGAGTATTTTCTTCTGCGTTTGAAAGAATTTGAGCCATTTCGTGGGTTTGGGAACGTGTTTTCTTCCCAGCCAGCCTATCAGCTAGGGTAGACTTAGGGACTTCAAAATGCTCTGCAGCCTTTCTAATTGATTTAAATTCTTTCAATTGAAGTGAAATTATAGCCTTTTGAAGCTTCTCTTCAATTTGAGCAGATGTAGAAGGTGATTGGGTATGCATAATAAAAGTTATTGCGGTTTCAAGTTGGTGATGGGCTAAAAGTGTCCGAGTTCCCCATACGTTACGTTATTAAAGTTTATTTTCTTTAAATTATATAAGTAAAAAAAATTAATATATGAATTATTTTTTTCAACTTATATAATATTTTCTATAAGTTTTATATATAATATTTATCAATATTTTATTAATTAAATATTATTTTATATATATAAATTAATTAAAGTTTTTTGAAAAAGAAAAAGATTTTATAAGATTTGATTTTAATATAATAATATTTTAAATAATTCTCTATATAATATATATATTTGTTACAGAGTCAAGTACTCTATTACTATCGGAACACGTGATCAACAATATAATATTACATGTCACACTTTACCTTATATATATATAAAGTATGTAAATAGAAGTAGTATATCTATATAGATATAATAATTCCTTTTTTATACAAAAAAGATAAACAAAAATAAATATCCCTTTTAATCATATATATTATATATACATATTTTACTAAGTCTGCCTAATATTAATTAATAATTAATTGAATTCAATCATAAAACGATAAGATCAAATCTAATAAAAAGAGATATCTTTTAAAAAAATAAATAAAATTATACTAGATTAAATTTACATATAATTTATATAGAAAAATTAGAATACTATATTCTTTATATTATCTTTTCGAATTATATATTAAAAAGAGATTTTTAATTATAATTATAATTTCTTTAAAATAATTTAATTTATATTCATTCTATTTATATTTATTACATTCTTATATATATTATATAAAACACATTCGATATAATATAACATTGAATATTATTATTTAATATAGTTTTTTTTATTCTTAAAATATTTTCATATAAAGTAAACTCTACATTTTAAGGAAAACAATTAAATCCAAGTAATCCCAATCTTATAGAATCTCAAATAAATACTAATATTACTATATAAATTATCAATTTATAATTCAAATAATATAACAAATAACAATTATAGAATAAATTTTAAGAATAATATAAAGATTAAATCGAAACTATTTTTAAAGTTATATATTACAAAGTACTTAAACTTCTATAAATTCAACTTCTTATTCATAATTTCTAAATTCAATAATCAAAAGATAATTTAAACTATACTAAAGTTCTTATTAAACTTATTTCAAAAAAATTTTCAAATAAATATATATAAAAAATTGAAAAAGAAATAAAGGATTTAACATCAAATTATTTAAATATATATAGAATAATTAAATTAAAAAGATTAATATATATATTAATACCTATTTTAAATTTATTCAATCAAATATTTACATTACATTCATAAAATTAAAATCAATTTTATTTCAAACCTTATACAATATTAGATTATATAATACCAAAAGAAAATATACTATACACATTATATACAAAATATACATATAATCTTCTTCTAAATCTAATAAAAATATATATTAATAAAAATTATAAATATAATAATAGAAAATATAATTTTCTTAATTAAAAACTTCAAATGTTTTATAAATTTTATAGAAATATTAATATCAAATTAAATTAATATAATAATACTTTTTTAATAATACTTAAAAATAATACTTTATCATTTTATTTTAATAAAATTGTTAATAGAAACCTCAATTTTGAGAATATATTAATATTAATATAAGTATATTTCAAAACTAAAGAAAAAAAAAATATCTTATTAAATAATATAATATAACATTTTCATAAATTATACAAAACAATCCCGAAAAAACACTTCCTTAATAATTGGAAATCCTGCTTGAAATTTTTTAGAATTTATAATATAATTTAATTGATTTATATCAATTAAAATTGATATTTCGAAATCAAATTATAAATATTTGTTATAATATTCTTAAATATAACCCTATATTATTATAATTAGTTCTAATATATAAAAATCTTTATATTAATCTATGAAATACTATTGAATAAATTAAGTATATAAAAACAATAAGTTCCTTATATTAATCTTTATTATT